CATGTGGCTCCTGAGGAAATGGGGAGGTTCAGATTGTTCAGTTCCATCAGTGGTAATGTTAATAATTTTGTGATGAAAATTAATGGACAAGAATTACCATTAATATCCTTCTGGTGGTTGGTGGGACATCCATTAAGAGCCCACTAGGATTTAATTAGCAATGTCAGGGCAACACAAGGACTCACCGGTCACTTCACTCTCATCTGGTGTGTCATTCTTTTGTCCCTGTTGTCAAAGAAATCACCATGTGGAGAAGAATAATCTTACTGGGGAAGAGTACACATTGTGTCAGACGACCTTACACCCCTCCTCCCCTCCTTTGTCTGTCTATCACACTATTTTAAAGATTTTCTTTTCATCTTTTAATCCATCAGTCTCTCAATTACATGATTAAAACTTCAAACACATGAAGCCACTTTCCTTAATAAAAGGCAGACATGTGCCAAAAGTATACTGAAGTTTACATGCCGGAGGTTTATATCACTCAATTTACTGAGAAGCAGAATCAGAGTCAGACAGCAGCAGAGCCAGGAAGGACAAATTTAAACCTTAGTTGCATTTCACAATTACCTGTATCAAAGAAGTGCTCTTGGTTTTTTCTGGGAATATTTTTGTATTTCTTTGAAATATAATGTTGCAATGTTGGTTAGGAACGAGTTTTTGCAATGTGATTTTAAAAGATTTTGAAATATACACTATGTTAATGGCTAATAGTGCATATTTATGCAAAACATTTTTGTCAGGGTTTGACCAAAAAAACAAAACATCAAAGAGACAAAATAAAAGCTTTTTTTCAGTTTGCCCAATGGAGTTAAAGTTGTGCCAGTCTTTGATGAACTACATCGAGTGCTTAATGAGCAACGCATGCTTGTGCATATCAAAAAGCTTGATCATTAACATGTAGGAAGAGATCGAAAGGTCGATTTATTTAGGTATCCAGGTGATTTGCTTTGCCACTAATGAGTCTAACAAAGACCAATTACCTCTCTGTCTTTGCCTCTGTCTCCCTTTTCTGGCTTTCATTCTCTAAATTTTGCTGTGACCTTTATAAAAAAGAAAGAAAGGAGAACGTCTAGGGCCTTTAAAAAAGACAAAATGAAATAGTAAAGAGAAGGGAAATGAATGAATGAATGAATCAGTCAGTCAGTCAGTGGAGTGACTGGGTCAGATTGTGTTAACATGTAGTGAACACCAGAGTTTACTGTGAGTGATCCTCATCCCAGAGCTGTAGCTCCTTGATAAATGCATCATGGAGGTTCACAGTCAGCGTGGGGCACACATTGATCCTTTAATCCCTGTGAGCTGCTGCACCCACACTTTGACAACATATCAGAGTTTCAGCAGCAGTGACCCGACAGCTCTGCGGCAAATTCATATCAACAGATTTCCAATAAACAATAGGTGTCACCTAAAAGTCAAGCTCTATATTGGTTCTGTGACCTCTGGAAGCCACAACTTTGAATCAAAGTATGGCTGATTCCTTTGGAGCAATAATCTTTTCATATGCGACAGAGTAAAGCAATAAAAAGATTGATTGTGTCATCTTGTTTCTTCCTGTTATGTTTCATTGTCTCTTTATTACAGTCATTAAATACAATGAACTTACCAAACAAAAGCAGATAGATGTGATTATCTTCAGTGTGTGCTGCGATTACAGCATTTCTTTCAAATCTATATTTGATAATTGGGCTAATTAGGGTCACCTAGCGAAGACAACATTCTGATCATTACTTTGTATGACATCCATGTTAGCACCATGATCTTTCCTTTGTTTTCAGTATTGCCAATTGAATATACTCATGACACTCCAGCTAGTCGAGTATTATATTATACAGTGTATTCTATAAATGAACCTCCATTACAGTCAGTATCCAAGAAACAGTTAGTTTTATTTTTAAGTCACTGACATGAGCAGTTTGACGTGTTAGGAGACAACAGCTGATAATAAACACCTGGTGTGTCAGCTGCTCAGTTATATGCAGATGATGTGACTGGACTAAATTGTTGGTAAATGGGCAGTACCTGTGTTCTTTTCTGGAGGAAGTCTTTTACAGTTTTGTACTAACAGGAAATTAGATGTGGTATCCTTCCACCTGCAACTCTGTGCTACTTTATGCCAAGAGTGAACAACGTGTTTCTTCCAAAGATTTGTTTTGCTTTAATATTTTGAGATCTTTCTCCAGCTGTCGCATAATCATCTGTAACCAGGTCTAATGTTTTCCAGCTGTGAGATGCTCATATATCATGAGCCCACTTAAAAATCTGGTGTCATTGAATATTTTTTCCCCCTTTTTCAGTCTGACTTCAAGATAAAGTCCAACCCTGCTTACAATAAGTATGTATTGATTATTGATTCCAGAGAAGAAACAATGAGAGCAACCTGATCAGAATGAAATGAATGTAAGCCACAGAGTACAGCTGTGTTGCACTCACTGTACTCTGTGGTGCAATGAAAGGACTAGTCCAATTTTGTGACAGTATGATAATGGCTTTACAGCTCTTTGTTAAACATCTAACGTAGATGTCTAAGAAGAAATTACCATGGTGAATTACATCTCAGGAGTTTGTCAGCTGCAATTAGAGGGATTATAATTGCGAGCGTTCTGACATGAATTGAACTCTTGAAGTGAACTGAAAAAAATCTAATAGACTGGACCTTCTGAAGATCCCTCAAGTGCAATGTGAGGGAGATTAAACACCTGAAATGCTATAAATGGCACAAGGATGTTTTCTTGCTTATGTTAACAGCAATACAATAGCAGTAAAGAAGAATGAAAGCAAAGCCTCAAGTTGCTGCTAAGTGTTTGATTGACAGCTGGACCTGCAGGGGAGAGAAAATGACATTTACACATTACCCACAATTACCTACAGATGATACAGTTCACTTCATATCATTGATCTCTATTTACCACAAGCTAAAAGAAAATTATGAGGTATTATCTTCTTTGTCCTAAGACTATTTTGCAAGTGTTTATACTGTACCTGTTCACAGTATATGGTAAACACACAGGACTCAGTGTTAGGATGTGTGTATCAGTGTGCACACACCAGAAATATTCACAGGTGCCACCTGTGAGCATATTCACTTTAAAAGCTAAAATTTACTCTTCATTTTTACTGTTTGATTTGAAGCTGAGGACACAAACCAGATGCAAAGCTCTATATTACTGTGACAAAAAGCAAAATAAAAAAGCATTTTAATTTTAACTGTACTTTGGGAGCAAAGAGACAGAGGTGTGGGGTCTGTGCAGAGTGAGCTGGTATAGAAGCATCTGTCATGTTGGCATGTAAAGTTTACATGACGCCTGACCTAATGTCTGATCTGCTGTGCGTGTGTGTGGGGGGCCCCCACTGGTATGTTATTGTCTGACCATACACACACAGTGAACTTTAATCCTCACATCTCAACTAACAATACCATGAATGGTATTTCTGGTATTTTTCAAAAGCCTGATGGGCTAATGCAAAGGAATAAGTCCATAGAAAAACAGACAGTAAAAATAATGTATAGATAAAGTAGCAGAAATGTTCAAGTAAATGATGGGAGTAATGAAATAAATCAAAATAATCATCAAAATCTAATTATTAAAATTAAAAAGAAGACATTTTCAAAAGTAAATCAGTATAACTTGTTGTATATTTTATGTTAGAAGATAATCATCAATACTTGACAAGCATTATGCTTACCGAAAAAAGGATAAGTTGATGACCCAGGAGGTTTGAGTCAGGTTTGAGTAGATGAGTGCAACTGAAAAATGAGGGGGGAATAAATCTGATGGATACCACCACCCGCTGGCTGCAGCTGTGACTGAGGCAAATGTCACTCACAACAATAAAAGCATTGGCATTTTAAAGTAAAGGTAGTCAAGTGTCTTCAAAATTTGCTCAAGGTTTACCAGGATATCTGCTGTCACCTCCTGGTCAGCAACTGCAAATACAAACTGCAATGGTTTATTGTAACCAAGGTTTATATTTAGATAGACAGATAGATAGGTGGGTTGTTTCATAAAAATAAAACAGCCCTGAATTTGTTAACTGTTTTAGTTCCTCAAATTTTCCACATTCATCCTAAACTGCAAAGTGAATATATTTTCAACATAACCTGATATAAACTGGCAAACTTACTGTTGAAAACAAGATTTTTACAAGTGCATCTTCCTCTGGTCTTGTTTCAGTGTTTTGCTCATTGACCACTGGGGGGCAGCAAAGCTCCATCATGCAGAGGGACTGGGTCCATTGTGTGCCTCAGCGTCTGTCAGCAGCCTGTGTTGCCATGTCCGTTTGCTTTCAGCGACTTTGCTTCTCCACAGTGTTGATTCGGCTGCTTTTGGCAGTTTCCTTGGACATGTTTAGCGCATATTTATCGTCTTAAGTTATCTTCGCGTTATCTCGCCGTCTGTCTGTCTGTATAACAGAGCTGAATGCATCACAGATAAAACTGTCAATCAGCCTGATTCCCTGTTTCTTTGACACACTGCCCTCATACAGCCCAAAAGCACGATCCGAAGCACAGAGGCTACTTATTGACATACGTGAATAATTATTAGCCTATGTGAACTAAATTACATAAATAAATCCAGTTGTTCCGAGATTTGTTGGCAAATAAAATAAAATAGATTTTCATTTTATGTGCCATAACGCATGCATATTGTATTTTGTTTTAATTAAAATAATAAATAATTAAATAAAGTTATATAATTGTATCCTTGATGTTTACCTTTAAAAAAAAAAAGTCTTAATTTGAAACACATAGCTAAACCAGCATAAACCTCAAATTCGCACTGGCTCGTTCATTATAGCATAATAATTATAAAAAGAAGTTTACTCTAATTAAAGTTTGTGCCTGACCATTAATCCCATTGCATTTCAAAGGGATGGCGATGGTGTGTATCTTTTTACCTCTTACAAACAATTTTTCTCGCGATATTTGGCAACCCAGCGAGCAGGCAGTCTACAGCTGTCAGCCCGTCAAAACACGGACTGGAGGCTCATCTGTCTCCCGCGGAAATGTTCAAAACAGAACAACTAAAAGCTTTGGTCAACGAGCGCCTGAAGGCAGCTGCGGAGGAAATATTCAGCCTGTTTGAACAAACTATTAAGGACTATGAGGACGAAGTTTTCCGCTCAAAACAGCAGATCGACAAACAACGCAGGCGTGCGGGGTGGAAAGGTAACGGGGGGACGGACTCAGGTTAACTTTAACATTCACACCACTAAGCCGGGGAGTCGGACACTTTAACCTTGTTAATGTTTGATCAAATGCATCACAACCTCCAGTCTTCCGGGCCACTCCTAACACTCAGTCCGTTACACAGGAGATAGAAAGTAGCGCCATTTTGCATCCCTGAGTGTATCAGGAAGGGGGATGCAAAATGGCTGGCTATACAGTATGCCACATTAATGAGCAGGTATTTCCCCTGGCATGCTTTTAAGTAAAGCAAGTAAAAGCAGACTTCAGCTCATCTGCTCTTCCCATCTTAACTATTAGGACTTGAAAGGAAGAAGGTGGAGGATGTGCTCTTTATTGCAAATGTTCAGATTCAATTTAAACTGCAGTACCCATATTATTTACGTTATAGTTTTGGATTATGTTTAATCTGAGTCTACTACTGGTGTTTGTAAATTTGCCCTTTGATACAGATAGACAAATGTGACAGTTTCTTCAATGACTTCCTTGTTCAAATGGAGTGTGATGTGAATCTTCCCATATAACAGGAAGTGAAAATAACAGAAAATCAAATTATCACCCAAACTGCCAGGTGTGAATTTTTTTGAGAGCTTTTTTTTTAACTTGTTGTCATTGAGCAGCTGCAGTTTGAAAATGCAGACAGATATTATAACCTTTGTTTTTACATCAAAATAAGCCCTGTGAGTCTCATACAGAGACAAATCTACAAGCAACAAGCAAACACAGAGGCACTTTTACCACGTCTATCCGTCATATTCCCAACTGCATCAGAACAATAATGCTGTGCGTGCTGTAATGAAGCTGACTTCTTGGCTCTAAGTACATTTTAGATATCATTGCATTTGTAAGTTGATCAGCATTGTTTGTGTACTTTTTTGTTTGCAAAGACACCATCGCAAAGCAGACTTTTTCATTTTAAGAATGAGCAGCTATTAAAAGATAAGCACCATTACACCTGCTGTTGTCTTGAGCAAAGAAAGACTGTACTTACAGTGTAGCTGTTCCCATCTTTTCCCCTACACATTGTACCATAACTACACATCATAACACATTTCAACGTGCTGTCTGTCTGGTCTAGCTCTGTTTTAAACATACATACAAATCAGAATGTGTTTTGATCAACCTAAAGCCTAAATTTCTTTTCTCCTGTGTGATACTATCCAGCCCCCGTGCAGCTCTCTGTGCGGGAAGAGGACATCCCTTCTGAACAGGAGCCCTGTGAGAAGAAGACTGGCCCGGGTGAGGAAGAACAGGAGCCCCTGCATATTAAAGAGGAACAGGAGGACGAACTGTGGGCTGCTCAGGCAGGCGAAAAGCAGGAGGAGGCTGATACCAAAGAGACTATGTTCAATATAATTTATGTGCAGAGAAGCAATGAAGATGGAAGACAGTCACCATATCAAAACCAAGAAGTTGAAAATAAAGGGGACCCTTTGCCCAGCAGCTCATCTGAACATTTGACAGCAGAACCTGACAGAGAAGGGGCGTCAGAGCCAACCAGTGACTGTCAGATGAGTGGAGACAGTGATGATGAATGGACACACAGTGGGGGACTTCACTCAGGTATTAAGAAACCACAGCGAGCTGGTGAGACACTAGACAGACCGTACACCTGCAGCGTTTGCAACAAGAATTTCAGGATTAAATCCATTCTGACTCGCCACATGAAGACACACACAGGAGAAAAACCTTACAGCTGCAGTGTTTGTGGCAAAAGCTTCATCCAGCGCTCCTATCTGCAGACTCACATGAACTCTCACTCTGGTCAGAAACCGTACACGTGTAATTTCTGTGGCAGAGGATTCACACAGGTTGGAAACATGAACGCTCACATACGAATCCACACGGGAGAGAAACCTCACAGCTGTGCTGACTGTGGTAAAAGTTTTAGAGAGAAAGCAGACCTTGTCAAGCACACAATAATACACACTGGCGAGAAACCATACACTTGCACTGTATGTAATATGAAATTCAGCGCTCAGTCCAATCTAACACGCCACATGAAGACTCATTCAGGGGAGAGGCCGTATAGTTGTGCTGCTTGTGGGAAAAGATTCATTCGTCGATCCCATTTAATCATTCATATGAAGACTCATGCAGGAGACAACTCATGAAACAAAGCGAAAATTATACCTGGTATTTATTTGATAATTTCCAGTGTAGAGCAATTCAATGCTCCACTCTACAAACACATAATCATCTTTCAGTTTGTTACAGTGGACATGGACTCGCATTAGAGGAGTAAAGTGAATAACAAAAACCTCTTTCCTCAGAATCATCATGTTTCATTCTGCTTGTAGTAATTCTTCAGTTTGTTAGTAGATGCTCTTTGTGCTTTTATTGGATGATGAGTTTTCAATTACGCAACTGTTTAAAAACTCCTTTAAAATGTTGATTGCCTTTGTCTGTCCAAAGTGTAATAATAAATGATACTGTTATTGCACTTTTAAGTCTCACAATTTCCTTCAGGTAAACATTCTTAGGAGACAGATCAAATTAACATCATATAGCAATGCAAGCAGCTCTGTGAGGTTGCTCTGTGATGCTTTGAGCTAAATGCTAACATTTAGCACGCTGACATACTCACAAGTGACAATGTTAACATGTTGGTGTTTAGCAGGTATAATGTTTACCATGTCCACCATCTTAGTTTTTTGCAAATTTTCTTATTAACTCTAAACACAAAGTGCAACTGAGACTGATGGGAATGTCATTAGTTTGTATTTTGTCATAAACCAAAATACTGGACAAATTCAAATTTTGACCTGATGATGTTGTGAGGTGAGGGTCACCAAAATTATTAGTCCTTACATACCCAACAACCTATCTGAGGCAATACGGTTTGTTTACACTATATATTAAACCTGAACAGCACAACACATACATTTATAAAAATGCAATAACTTCCTAAAGCTCCCATCATGCTTTAGTACTTAAATGTTCTACTATAATACCAGTCTGGATGTTGCTGAAAGAACCTCAGCAAGCTTAATGTAGAAGCAGTGTAAGTTCTCAAACTCTGATCAATACTTAATACTCTGGCTGTATAAATATTTTTGGTTTATTTTCTTTGTATACTACCGTGTTTATTTCTATACATTTTAACTGGTGTGATAGAAAAAAAACCCAGTAAGACAACTTTGAGATAAGATTTTTATAAGATTTTTTTCTTTTTCAGACAGAAGTGGTGGACAATAACTAAGTGCATTTACTCAAGTAAGTTTACATTTGATTTACTTACTGAGCATTTTCTTTTCTTTTGCACAGTAGCTTATGGTATATCACTCACAGTGCCATTTTTGTGTATTCAGTACTTTTAGTTTTAATACTTTGATTATACTTTTATACTATGATTTTTGACTCAGTTTGCATTTTTAACTAACATTATAGGTCCATAAAAAAAACACGAGTTTTTGGCGGAACTGCACTCGACGTCATTTCCGTTCCGCGAAACAGAAATTTTGGCGCCCCGGATTTTTAAACAGCTAAAAACACAGAGGGCGACAACTGAAAGATGATGAAGAAGAAGACTACAAACGTCGAACCAGCTCGGCAGTTTTAACGGAAAACATCGCTGGCTCAGGCCGGCAGGTCAGTGAGTAATCCCCCGGTTCTGGAGACGTAGAGTCGGTAGAAATGAAGCAAAATAAGCTCTGTTCCTGTAGCTGAACCTTGTGCGGTTAGCCTCCTGTTACAGTTGGTCCGTTCGTTAAAAACATAATGCTAATAACAGCTCATTCAACACACAGATACACACACCTGCCTGCGGTCTAATCAGAGGCACCATGAACAGGACCAAGCTGAAGAAAACCAAGGTGAGCAGAGCCTCCATGTAACAATGCTGTCTTTAGTTTTTCTTTCTGGGCAACAAAAATAAAGGACATCAGACACAGAAAGGACGTTATTCACAGATTTATATGTAAACAACAAAACGTTTCACCCATTCTAGGTCCTCAGTAGCTTGCCAGTTGTTAGCATGTCTTGTATGTGAGATAGTGGTGAGGGAAGTATTCAGACCCTGAAGTACCAGCATCACACTGGTAAAATACTACTACTGCTACTAGGCCCGTATGAGTGTAATATTGTTCTATAATTATACTGTATGATTATAAGAGATTAATATTGGTGGTTCATTAATGTGTAACTGTAAGACAATGAAAAGTTATTATTACGTTTGAGAAGCTAAAACCATGAAATGTTTGGTATCTTCTCATGAAAAAATGACTCAGATAATTAATTCACTTTTTTCGATGATCAACTAATCAATTAATCGTCTGTGAGTGTTTCAGCTCCAATTATACACATCACTGGGGAGTTTACTGGCAGGAGAGCAAGAGACTAAGCTGTCCACTAGCGATAAAGTTGAACCAACCACTCCTTCACTGGAGCTGCTCAGTCTGTATTGTCTAAATTAACGGGGTGATTTATCGCTGTTACCAGGATCAGCTATTGATCACTGGGTGTGAAGCTTTGGTACCTAAAGATTTTTTCTACAGTCTAAAATGTCACATTTTTTAAACGTGCTGTCTTTTTGGACAACAAACAAATGGTGCTGATGAAATGTTGGTACATGTTTGTTTGTTTGTGTGGTTTCTGACAGGTGACTCTAGGAGGACAGAAGAACATCTCATCCTTCTTCTCCTCTCAAAACCAAAAGGTAAATAGGATTTTTTTCCCCCTTTTTTAATTAGTTGTTTCTCTTTATGCTGCTTTTTCTTTGCTTTCTTCTAGGTTTTGACAGTTCTGTCGTAATTTCATTTTAATATTAATACTTAATGCCATTGGTGCTAATCTAGACAGATGGAAGTTTAGAGATAATTGTTGGTAATGTCCATATAAGAATATCGGGTTTCTGTTTGTTTGTTCTTTTAGTTTAGCTTCTTTTTTCTTAAATCTGTTTCTATTCTGCTGTAATACACAGTCGCATTGCTCTGTGATGTAATAAATGTGCTGTGCATAAACTGTTTGCTAACACTGTTACTGGTACAATTTTCTGGGTTATGTATTGAAATACTCATTTGACTGTGTTGCTTTTAGGATGAGTCACTTTCAAAAAAGTCATCCATCACTGACACTGGATTTGTCAAGACTGAACCTCGGATCAAGGATGGAGAAACTGCTCCACTCGGACTCCACTCCCCCTTAAAGAGACGTGTCCTTGGGGACCTTGAGAACCTCCTGCCCTCCTCGCCAGATCTTCTTCTCTCCGTGCCAGAGACCCCCAACAGTCAGATCAGGTGTGCCTCCTCCTCCTCCTCTCCCTCCAGAGAGGCAGGTTGTCTCAGTCCCAAGCCCAGCAGAGAGAGGGTGAGCCTGGTGAAGATCGGCCAGCTGTCCCCCATCTGTCTCAGTCCCCGCTCCAAAGGGCTGAGTGTACGGAGATCAGTCACCAATGAGGGAAGAAGAACCAAGAGGGAAGAGGGATGCACTGACTCCCGGAAAAGACTCTTCAGCCCTCCTGAAGAGTCCCACAATGCCAAGAGACCAAGGACTGTGATGAGCCCCACGGGTAGCAACCTAAAAGTAACAAGTCCTGTGATTGGCCATGGGAAAACACCTTATGTCTCCAGTGACCAGTTAAAGGGTCAGTCTAAGAGGTTTGAGGGTCACAGCCGAGGTACAGACGTGGTCTTTAACGACAGCAGAAACACAACAACGTCGCTGAATTCGGTTTCTTGTCACTCTTTGGGGGGGCACAGAAAACATCAGGGAGAGAGAGATGAAGATGACAAAGATTCTGGTTTTACTGTGATAACGAATGGAAACCCACATACTCGTCTGGATGAGGACACTCACACACTTACTGCTCATGTGCACAAACCCAGAGCACAAACTATCACACCTGCACTGCAGAGAAGTGCAGAGGAGGAGGAGGCCGACCTAAACAAGAAAGAGGCTACAAGAGCAGCCATGACATCACCGAACGGAGACGAAGACAATGTGCCACCGTCCAATCAAGAGCAAGGTGCAGGTACACTGACAAATTTGGGATTTTACCTCCAACTACATGTTTTGTATAAAATTGTGATTATACTATCAAGAACTGCATGTTGGGTTTTTCCAAAGCAAAGTGTGTGACTGTTAAAACATGGTATCATCTACCATGAATGCATCAATTAACACGAAGAAAAAACAAGATTTAAGCTAATTTCACGATTTTATAAAATCACAGACTACTGTATATACATTATCTTATCACGACATCTATAATATTATAAACACCGCTCTGATTAACATCCATATCTTCGAATATGTTTATTTTTATGCAAATCAGGAATGACATCAGCATGTCCTATGGAAGAGATGGTGGATGAGAGCTGGTTTGCAGAACATATGGATGATAAAGAACGTCGTGTCACAGAAGACAAATTCAAAAACCCCCGGTGAGAAACACATGAGCACGCTGGCTCGAGGTGTTGCTTCAGAGTTTGGTCTGGTTAGGTGATCGTAAGGTTGCCTTAAAGCGAGAGCACATAACTGCTAGGTATCTTAAGAAGAGTTCAAGCACTTGACTGTGTGAGAGCTGAATAGTTTCTGTGTTAAGAGGAAAATAGCCTCATAGCTGGAGAAGTGAGCTGTAAAGTGACAGGAAAGTTGATAACTAAACAAATTGCTGTAAATTTCTCTGCAGTACTAATTAATTCACTTAGGTTTACAAAACATATGCATGAGATATGATTGAAAAAAGAACCATGGGAATGTATGATGATAACAGTCCCTGCTGTCCCTACAGCAAGGTACCAGACCATGTGATCCTTTCTGGAGGCGTTAACAACCGCTACTGGGTTTTGGATGTGGAGGAGAGGCCTGGTCACAAAATACTGACCATCTCGTGCTTCAAAACTCTACATCCAACGGAGACGTGTCTGCTGAGAGATGGATGGTAATGCTGTGTGTTTGGAAATCTGTTATTCAGTTCCTTATTTTAATCATAATGTGCATCACATTTTTTCCCCTAAAATTCAGAGATACAGCCCAGATTTATGAATTTTGCTGTAAATTTTCAACTTCCATATGTAAAAGAGCAAATATTAAATACCAGTTAACGTGCAAAGTTTCAGCTTTTCCTACTTTTAATTTAAAAAAAAAAGATGAGTAATGCATAAAATTCAGTTTGACTTGATGTTTTATTATGCATTAATTACGTTAATCAAGTTCAGTGCATAACATGACAAAATTTGGACAAATTCAATGGGCACTGTATGTTTCTGTTTACATGTACGTATTTATGTTCTCCCCTTGTAGAAGTTTTTCACACTTAAACATTCAACACATGTTTAAGTGTTTTCACGTTCATATATGACGTGCTGTTGAATTTGTGGGCGACCATGTATCTGTGCGATAAATTAACCATCTGTGATGATCAGAGACTTTGGGTTTGGTATGTGGATGTACTTATCTTTGCATATAGGCTTTCATTATGTGTGTGTGTCTCTGTCTTTATATGCTCATAATGATAATTTCCTGGGTGTTTCCAGGGAGATGACGCCTGTTTGTCGTGGTGATGTGGTGCATCTGGAAGGCCACTCTGATGGTGGGTCCTGGTTAGTGGACAGGGAGCAGGGCTTTCTGGTTTTACTGCCTGACAGCCTGATCTCAGGTACCAGCATCTCAAGCTCCATTCGCTGTATGAGGCGTGCAGTACTGGGTGATATGTTTAAGGTAAATACGATTTATAACCTAGAATATATCCTATTTTATCTTGAAATGGATAACCGACAGGGCACTTCGTCGCCACAAGGGCAGTATTTTGACAACAATACATCATAATATTGTCGCACCCAAATACTTTTACATCTGACTGTGTGTTAGCAGAAGTGGTAAATTCAGTTTGTTTAAGTGAGCAGTTGTAGTGCTTAGACAGTCTGTTCGGTATTAAAACATGACAGATTAAATTCCTGTAATAGTTTGTCTACACCATCACACATACAGTATATCATGTTCAGTTGCTATGAATAATCAGCTGAATACCTAACACTTACACAAGGTGTTAATGCAATGGCCCAGCAATAACTTGTACATAGAGTATAGTGAAATTTTCCTTTTGTTCACTATCTCACCAAGGTTTTGATTATTAACTCTGTGGTAATCTTTGAGGCCATAGATTTATGTAGTTCTATTAGATACATTATATTTTCTAGTGTTCATTTTATTTTGTATACACTCACCTGGATAAGACAATGCTATACTCTTTACCTTCTCCTATTCTTTCTGTTCGTGATCCAGAGTTTTGACGGTGGCTCAAAGCAGATGCTGAACGGCACCATGGTCCATGAAGTCTTTCAGAGAGCAGCTACAGCAAAAGATTTTTCTTTGGAGACGCTGTCTAAGCTGGCTGACCAGGCACTGCACAGTCCTCAGTACCTGGGAGACATGTAAGACCCATTCAGAATAAAGTATTTAAACAAAGCGTTAAAGACTATAAAGAAATGATAAAAAGCACTGACCAGTTAGTTGTAAATGACATTTTATGATCTTTGTCTTGTTCAGTTACGTTTGTGTTTTGTCTGTGTCTCTCCAGGTACAGTTTGGGTGTAAGTCAGGAAGAGATGAAGCAGGAACTGCATGATTATCTGCCTTCACTGGAACATTGGGCAAAGGAATATCTCAGCTCCCCAACGCAAAAAGCCATCACTCTCAAAATGTATGTACACACACATACATACACACACAGAGTTACAGATTTGCTAACAAAATCTTATTAGCTCTGCAGTCGCCGCTTGATTGTTTTGTGTCCATATTTCAAATCAATCAATGTAATAAAGGTGCTGTCACATTTTTATTTATCCAAGGTTTTGACTAAAATGCTGTGAAAAGTGAGACTCGTGATACTGAGAATATTTTTTGCAAAGTTTAGTCACAGTTTATGAAGTAATTACCAGAGTGAATACAGTTTTGTCAACTGAAAGGGCTGATCATATGTCTGTCTCCATGACTCCAGCCCTAGCAACAGCAGAGCTCCAAGCAGGGATCAGGACTCTGCTGCTGTTGTCACGGTTACAGAGCTGGCAGATATAGAAGAGAACGTGTGGTCACCAAGATTTGGTCTGAAAGGGAAAATTGATGTGACGGCACGGGTTCGAATCCAACGACCCCGAAACGGCGGGCACAGAACCCCGGAGGAGAAGACTCTGCCCCTGGAGCTTAAAACTGGAAGAGAGTCAAACTCGATAGAGCATCGCAGTCAGGTTGGTGGAGCACAGTGTGTTCAGCAAGGTAGATGCACACATGCAGACTGGTGGGGTCAGGTGAACAGGCAAATTTAATCAGACTCACAATTAAGGTTTCAAAATGTGTTTCCATGTGTCTAGGTGATTCTGTACACTCTGATGAGCATGGAGAGATACAACCCTGAGGCTGGCCTCCTGCTTTACCTCAAGACCGGTAACCTGCACCCTGTAGTGGCCAGCCACATGGACCGCAGAGGTACATTATATCCACATGTGCTTCACCAACCTGCCAGCTGTGATCAATCATGTCACAGTCTAATTTTGTATAATTTAAAATCATGGATTATTTTTCAATTCCACAAAATAAGAAAAAAAAAGATCAAAATGCATCTAGAAAGAACCTGCTCACTGACTGTAGTTGTAAAGAGAAAGCTAAATGTTAAACCCTGACCGCACACACACACACACACACACACACACACACACACACACACACCCAATATTACTTTGCCATTGAAAGTCCCCTTTCAGCTAAACTGTAAACTGAGAGTATGACCACAACACGACAACCAAAGAAGAGTCTTGTCTCCTTACATGCCTTGACAGCAGCCTCTCCTCCATCACCTTCATTGCTAATACTCTCTGTGTTTATGTCAGAGCTGCTGAAGCTGAGAAACACACTGGTTCATCACATTCACAACTGTGTGGAGAAAGAAGCGGGGCAGAGCCGCTTGTCTAGACTTCCTGACATCCTGACAAACAGACAAACCTGCCAGTATTGTCCTCAAAGGAGCAACTGTGCTTTATATGAGAGGTAAATCTTTTTAAACTAAATTTCAATCGTGGAAATCTCAAGCATTAGATTTTTTTTATGACACTAATAAGCTTTGAAATGGTGACTTTAAATAGTAATTGAATGGTCTCATAACACTATGATTCCTTCTCTGTCTGTGTTGTCCTCTTTTCTGACCACTTCCTCTCTTATTTTCCCTCTTTTCTCAGAGCGGTAGACAACAGCTCTCTAGACACCAGCGAGGATGTTGTGCGTGACTTCCTGCAGCAGGAGACAGGTCATCTAACTCCACCACATCTGAGCTATTTTTCCCACTGGCTGCTGCTCTGCTGCCTTGAAGCTGCAACTATGGAGGCCAAGAATGGCCGAAAGCGTGTGTGGCTTCAGACGGTTGAGGAGAGGTAAGAAGTTGGTCTCTCAAATTTAGACCTGCAAGTTCTCATAGTCTTTGGCCATTACTGAGTGTTCCAGCTGCTGTTGCAAGCCTCCTAGTAAAGTCAAATACAGTATTGGGTATAAAAACCTATGTATAAAACCAGCCCCTTCATACGGTATAAAACGCTTTGCAGAATTTAATTAAATTCCACAATCTATGTTCTTTTAGCTCAGTATACTCTGGCTTGTGTTTGTAGTGAGAAGAAAGGGAGCTGTGTGGGGAATTTGCAGCTCAGTTGCCCAGTGATCATCCAGTCTGAGGGAGTTTTCCTCCATCGCTTCCAGAGAAGTACTGTAGCACCACAGCAGGGTTTGGCTAACAGCGGTCTGGCCAGCAGGGATCGCATCGTTGTTAGCGACCAGGGAGGTCGTCTTGTTGGCTTGGCAACAGGATACCTGTGTGAGGTCAGCAGGACATCGATCAGCTGCACTCTGGACAGGTGAGAACAAATCCATGTATAGCTGCCTTCTGAAGTATATCAGCCCAAAGACAGTTAATTGGGCTTTTCTTTCAACAGCTGCTCAGTTGAAGTCACTAACTTGATTTGCACCTGTTTTGTTTAACGTGCTTTACAGAGACTTGTCAAAGTTCAGTGATGTGTTGTTTCGACTGGATGGTGATGAAGGTGTGGTGGGCCTCAGTACTCATCTCACCAATCTCTCAAGACTCATGGAAAACTGTCAAGACAGGTGGGTACAATAAGATAAGATGTCAAGTTATAATAGCATAGGATGTAGGTAATAGTAAAACAGGCTTATTCCCAGTAAATTAACTAGGTGACAGTTTAAATAGTCACGTACATTTTATCACTCATCTTTGTTGTGTGTAATAGCACCTCTGACTTTGTCAAGGAAATTTGTTATTATGTCTGTTCATGTGCAGCGATCGTCTGAGGGAGCTGGTTGTTGACCTTCGTCCTCCAGAGTTTATTTCCAACCTCAGTTCTGTTCTTCCCAGAGAGGCCAAGGACACTGTGGCCAACATCCTCAAAGGTGACAAAGCTACTCTGCCTGTCTCATGTGCTTTCTTTTGTTCTGGTCTGTATTCAGTTTGGTTCTTCCCATTACTGTGTGGGACAATGTTATAAACGAACAACGTCATGGAAAACCTGTGTAGGGTCAGTTTATGCATTTGTGTGTATATTTGTGTAGGTCTCAACAAACCACAGAAGCAGGCCATGAAGAAAGTGTTGTTATCTAAAGACTACACACTGATTGTTGGCATGCCCGGCACAGGCAAAACCACAACCATCTGCACTCTGGTAAACTCCCAAACATGACCTGTAAACCCATTACCTGACCCATGAATCAGCAATATCTACTCCCTGGAGACCAGAACTCGAACCCTCTCTAACTTCTTTCATGTGTTATTCTCTACCATTCTCTCTTTTTTTGCTCCTTTGTCTCTTCTTCACTCTTTCCTCCAGGTTCGCATCCTGCATGCATGTGGGTTCAGTGTGTTGCTGACCAGCTACACCCACTCTGCTGTTGACAACATCCTGCTGAAGCTAAAGCGTTTCAGGGTCGGCTTTCTGCGTCTGGGGCAAGGGCAGAAGGTATGCCATAGTTGACGTCTGTCTCTCAGTGTGTGAAGTACTGTTAAAGTACAATAAATACGTTATCACTTGCCAAAATTGTTTTATAACAGTAATATTAGTATATTATATATATATATAATATATATCATTTTGTATATATATCTGCTTTTTAAAAAAATAAAATAAAGCTGGTAAGCTGGCATGGTAATCCCCCTCCCACTTTCTCTCTCTAACTTGCTTTGATTTCTCTCCTGTTTTCTGACTCGTCCTCCAGGTTCATCCAGACATCCTGCCTTACACAGAGGAAAGCGTCAGGAAGAAGGGCGTTCACACTCTCTCAGAATTGGAGCAGCTTTATAACAAAGAGGCGAGGAACTAGTTTGTGGAATATTCTAATCATAGCACTTTACATACACTATACCCTGAAATCAGCTATTACATAACAGCTATAATATTTTATGCCTGATCTCAGTATTTTCCCTGCTTCAAGACATCTCACTTGTGGATATTGTAACTTATAACATTTAAACAAAACCAGTAAACAGCTTACCATTCAATACCAATTTCGTTTTTCTCTTTCTAGCTGGTAGTGGGAACCACCTGCATGGGCATCAGGCATCCCATTTTCACACGTCGGCGGTTTGATTTCTGCATCGTAGATGAGGCATCGCAGATCAGCCAGCCTATCTGTCTGGGACCGCTGTTCTACGCCAAGAGATTTGTCCTGGTTGGAGATCACCAACAGCTGCCGCCAATAGTGCAAAACCACGAAGCTAGGTAAACGATGTGCATGTTGATCTGTGTTTCACTCTAGGCTGGGGAAAATGGAAAAACTATTGTCATAAGTAAGTGCAGGTATTGTAGATGTTTGTCTTCATGGCGACACACTATCAGACTTCACGATAAAATGGTTCATTTAAAGGGAAGATTCAACAAGACGTGAATATGCTGTGTTCAGTTGGTAATTAATGCAAACTTTAAAGGAACTTTTGTTTTTTGTTTTTTTTTTTTTTTTACTCCAGGTCACGTGGAATGGATGAAAGTCTATTTAAGCGACTAGAGCTCCATTGTGAAGCAGTGGTCCAACTCAATGTCCAGTACCGGATGAACAGGTAAACCTACATGAACAGGTAACACTGTATGTTTCTGTTTCATTTGAATGGTCTTGAGGATGAAATCATGACATCAGAAATAATATGAATACATTGGACTTTATTATGAACCTATGATGAAAATGATGATAAAATTTGGATGCACTTTGATCTTTAATACAGTGTGTTAGCTACTTTGGCATGGCAGAGAAAACTTAATTCTATTTAGACGACAGCTACAATAGTTTCCCCCCTGTATGATAAACAGTGTGTGCTCTCTTTATTCAGACAGATAATGTCTCTCAGTAACTCCCTGATGTACGAGGGCCGGCTGGAGTGTGGATCAGAGAGAACAGCCTCGGCCCTGCTCACCCTGCCTTTCCTGCTTTCTGTCCAGTCGGACCTTAGTTCCTCCTCTCAGGCTCATCCCCAGCATGACCTGGCGTGGATACAGGCCACATTGTCACCTAGCAACCCTGTTTGCTTCCTTGATTGCTCAATGGTTGGTTGAATATTGAGAGTACACTTCAAGCAGTTGTGTGTTTTTTAATGTGTTGTGCGTTGAGAGCTGAAATGAGTCAGTTCAAGGCGAAAAGGATTTGGTATTTGAATGGAAGATTAAAATTTTGAAAGAAGGTTCTGGTCGTCCCAGCCTTGTGAGGTTTGTAATCTAGCAATACTGCAAATTGTCTGAGCTTCACGGATTAGTTATGTTATTAATCTTCTTACATCCGTCAGTTTGGAGTTGCAATAAAATATTTTTTGTGTGTTTGGATGTTCTTATAAAATGTTTTTTTTTACTCTTTACTTTTTTATGCATTTTTCTTCCTCCTTTAGGTACCAGCACTGGAGTCGGTGGAGCAGGGAGGCGTGAGCAATCACACCGAGGCTGCTCTCATTCACAAGTTGCTTTCACTGCTGATAAAGGTAATCCAACTGGTACTGGTATAATAACAATTCAATACAGTTACACTAGTGGGCGTGAAAAATTGTTTAAAATCAGAGAAATGATCAGTGTAACTAGATATTGTACTGACCCCTGCTTATTTCTGTCTCCAGGCAGGGTGTAAGCCCAGTGATATAGGTGTTATCGCTCCCTACAGACAGCAGTTAAAGAGTATCTCTGCTCTGCTGCAGTCCTCTGCTTTCATCGGCGTGGAGGTGAACACAGTGGACAGATACCAAGGACGGGACAAAAGTCTAATTGTGCTTTCTTTTGTCAGGAGCACTGCAGAGGAAGGAAACGTAAGTGTTTTCCTTCCCATCTCCCCTTTTTGACTCTTCTTTCTGCTCTCTTCTCTGTGCCTCTGTCTCTTTATGCATGAACAAGCAAATGAACAACTGAGTAGAAACCCCCCCCCCCCCCCCGGTCCATTCACAGTTAGGAGAGCTGTTGAAGGACTGGCGTAGACTGAATGTAGCCATTACCAGGGCGAAACATAAGTTGCTGATGGTGGGCTCTGCCATGACGCTACGACGCTACGCACCTGTGGAGAAACTGCTCAACCATCTCCAGCAGGAGAACATGATATCCTTTTAGAAGTCTTGAAACTACCACTCAGCATTTCTTCATTTTCAATACATTAGAAGAATTAAGCTTCACATGTAAACGAAAATTGTCTGTCACAAAACAAATACTTTTTTTTTTTTTCTCCACGTTCTGTGTTTATTCCTGAACCCTTACTTCACATTATCCAGCTCCCGCCAGCTGCCCACAAGGCCTTACCCAGCATGCACCTGTGACAGAAGGCTGTGAAGCCATATTGGTCTCAGATCAACTGCCTGTCTCACAGAAGAGCTGACGACGGCTGTGGGGAACTTCAGCAGAGCAGAATTTGAGTACCAGTCTGTTAAAGTACTCCATAATCTGTCTGGAGGTTTAGCTGGAGAGATAGGTGACACTGATCAACAAACTAGCACCTGAACAACAACATCTAGGCTTTGAAGTGAACGCTGCGTCTGATCCACACCACACTCGTTTTGTAAGTTTTGTAAGAGAATAATTTTATATTAAATCCTTTATTCTACAAAGAACTTAGACGTGAAGGTGGCTCTATGGCATAAAAGTGGTATTTTGGAAATTATAGCAGTTTGTAACGTTTGTAGACAACAAAATGCTTTACACAAGATAAAATGCTATTGTGATTTCACATGCACCTTTCAACTGAATATCTCCTCTCACTGACCGATTTTTGCAGAGTGTGAGATGGTCATGTGGCGTTCTCTAGTATTATTGTAAAAACATTCATATTGAATTAAGTGGAAAAGACTTAGAAGACCTCATAGGCTGAATCTACAGACTGAACCTCAACAGGCTTTGTAGAGACCTTAAGGGTGTGTCTGCTCCAGCTGCTGTTGGTTTATTTTACAACGTGTGCACTGTGTCTGTAATTGTCCTTGCTGTGAAACACTGAAGAATGACAACTTAGGAACTGACCACCTAGTTGCACACAAAAAACTAAATCTGTGGTTAAAACATGCTGAGCTGACTCCGTCATAGGTTAAGGTATGAAACATCAAACTAGAACTGTTCACTATTCATAAAGTCTGATATTTATCAAATACCTCTATCAATACACTGTGACAATATTTAAGGCCTGTCTTTTGGTACTTTGACAAGGCATTTCCACACAGCACAGATCTTCAGTAATGTGAATATGGAGACCAAACAGGTAGAGTTATCTATAGTTCATTTCACTTAGCTATAACAGTCAGATAAGCCCATAAATGACTGTCAGTCAACTGAATTGCAGTCTTAAGGAATGACAAACCTTAGACTAAAAAGTTTAGCTACATCACAACATTACAATTACCTGCAGTCTTAAATCACAATATCACAAAGCAAACATAGTTTTGCAGCTTAAAACTCAAGTAGCTGTTGTGTAAAGGATGAGGTGACAGCTGCAGTGCAGTGCGTGACTTCTTGTTTAGATCGCAGGACATCATACATACTTGAACTTCGTTATATGTCTTGTTGTAGGCCATTGTATCTTATTCAAAGACCTGGAAACCACAAATTGGTTGATAAATAATTTAATTCTCTTTTAAAAATTAACTTTACAGCATTGTATTATCAGTAACAGCAAAAACTAAAGCATTTAAGTCATTTGTCTCCATTCCTTTGTGCAAGGCAGAGCTTGTAAGCTATACAGAGACTGAGAATAATACATGGTACCATAACAGGTAAAACTCTAGGAAGTTTTGTTTGAAATATAATACTAATGAACTGTGATGATTTAAGTGATGATACTTTTTTTTTTTTTGCCTCCTTAATGTGAGCAGAGCGTTACAGATGACGTACCGAAAACCAGGCCAACTGTGATTCTACCACTGATCTGTTTTACTTCCAACACAGCCTCTGAATTTACATGTTTTGTTGTTGCATTTGTTTTTTTTTATTTATATTGTAATTTTTGTTGTAGTGTTACGTGAATAAATAATACAAATCTGAACAAAATGTGCAACGTTCTTTTGTTGGTTAGCTAATTGATGTTCTGATATTTAGATTGAGCAGTCTGCACTTGAGTCTGTTTTGTTTTTTTATTTAAATTCATCCCATTTTTATTAAATGGTACAAAGCATTCGTCTGCTTCTCTGGACAGGTGCATGTTGACTGTCTTGGCATCTCAAACCCTCTGCTTGCATGTGTCTGTAACTACAGTGTGATTGTTCCCTGCAGTACAGTGACGGTTTGTCCAGTTATGTTGATTCTTCCGTCGTCTTTCACTTCCAGTTCCAGCTCCCCACCTCGACTGGAGCACTGGTAAGCTACACACACACACACACACACACACACACACACACACAGGATGGATAATCTCAGTGTCAATATGGTTCAGTTCAGTAGTAATGGACAATTTATTATAGTGGGAAACAACACCTGTCATCAAGTAAATGATTTAAATGGTTGTTAAAAGACTTTGCTTCTAAGTCAAATTGTTGCTGATCAAATTATAATGTGAACTAGATTAATTACCCAGCATTTTCTTCTTTCCTAGTTTCTTAGACCAGTAGCTACCTAGAACGGTGTGGGCCGACCCTGCAAGGACAGAAAGCGCAGAACACCAGAAACTGATAAACAAAATTTACAGACCCGCACGGAACATTTAACAACTGTAAAAACAAGTGAAGTAGTTAACTGCTGGACATCTGATACAGTCCTGCCTACAGATGTTTTTGGAGCTATTGATCTGATGTAAATGTGTATGTTTCTCAGATGCATATTTTTTGAGAAACAAAATCCATCCTACATCCAAATGAAGCCTGTGTGTGAGTAGATGTGCAGGCATTGGGTGGTAGTAGTAGTAGTAGTAGTAGTAGTAGTAGTTGTTCACTCACCAGTGACAGGATCCTCTGGGATACCATTCCATGGAGCAAAGTATCTGGAGTAGAAGTCGTATCCCGGCTGGCAGTCTGGAGACCCTGTTAGCAGACACACATTGAAATTATTGTTTGTGGTCTAGCCCAACAAGACATAAAGCTGTCCAATAATATCCCCCTGGTCTCGCTAAAGGATCTAATTTTTTACCTTTCATGGTGAGGATCAGCCCTTTGACTCTTCCACTCCTCTCACTGCTCTGAAGAGCTACAGGGTCAACTTTCAGACTGGTTAGCACTGACCTGTAGACAACACACAATGCAGCACATGGAGGGATCTAGGAAACTGAGCATGACCTCTAGACAGAGAGGTGTGTGGTGTGTGTGGAAGGTTAGTGGTCTGGATTTCTGGCTGGCTTTGGTTAGGTTTTTGGGCAGGTGAATGAGTAACCTGCTTTCCAGCTGGACACTTTGTCCCTCTTGCTACTGTGGAGCAGCTTAAGGGCCAATAAGAGACACAGGAATATAATTGAAGGGTATTGCTGAGTAAATGTTTGGCAAAGAGCTGATCACTAAATAGAGGAATTCACCAGGAATGTGTCTTTGATCCTTGTTCAACTGCTCTTAGTCTCGATTCATCATTTAATTACGTCAGCAAGCTAGTACAATCAGTTTTCTGTGTGTGTGCGTGTGCATGTATGTTTTGCTTATAACCTGTCACAGCTGTCAGCCAGTCGAACCATCAGTTTCTTAGTGTTGGAGCTCAGATGAACATCCTGAACTGGGTGGTTTCCAACTGCCGCCTGTATTACACATGCAGAGGCAGAGACACAGTGAAACACACGCATACACTCACAAAAACACGACAGTGAGATCACACTGATGCAAACTGTTGAAACTGATGGGCTCGTGGGCAGTAAAGCAGGAGGCAGTGCTGTAAAACATTCGCTCACAGAGGAGGTGTCTGTCTTACTGACCTTGATGATGTCTCTGAACTCATTTGGATCCTGGGGGGGAAAAAAGGTGTTACAATTGCAAGATTTCTTAGTCTGTTGAAACAGGAGCTCTGCTAATCCATCGGCAGCTGTGTGTTATACTATTGAAAGATGGTCGCAGAGTTTCTGGGTATCACAAAACTTGTTTTCTTAATAGTGATGCTGAATTACATGGTAGTGCTGTGGGCATTGAAGAATGAATAGTACTGACTGAAAAGGAAATAAGGGACTGTGTGTGTGTGTTTTAACTACTTTTTCTTCAGTTAAGTGAATTTAAGGCCTCGGTATATAGTTTTATTTCTCACAGTTGCGTGGTGTTGATGTCGATTGTAGATGTCGGCTAAGAGGGCCTTGTCCTGCGACATTGTCCTGATGTGTTTATCTGACCAAATACTGTACCTTCTGGGTGGGTGGGTTAAGAGGAAAGTCCATGATGTAACCGTCCCCCTGCTTGGTAACAGCCAGATCTCCACTCTTGGTCTCAAACACCAGTACAGGATTCACATTCTCTAACAGATGTAACATATATAACATAATATATAATATTATACTCACAGACTAGCTGATGAACTAAGTTTACTTAAGTATTTATGTGTAACTGACTAACCTGAGTGTCTCGGCTTAAAATTCTTTGTACTTTAGTGTATTACTCTACATTATGTTTTACACGGAAGAGCTTTACAATAACAGGATAACTTCAAAAGGCTGCCAGTTAAATTAGTGTTGGTACCTTCGACGGCATGGCTTCAATAGCCTTGTGCTTTGTACCTTGCTGCCAATGCATTACCTGACTGATATAAGCCTTGATTTTCATGTCTGTGTGTGTTTGTTTTGAATCTTACTCTTATGCTGGAACAGCACTGCTGCAGAGGCCAGAGTAGCATGACCACACAGATTCACTTCAGTGGTTGGTGTAAACCATCGGAGGCGAAACCTTGATCCTGTTGATCGCATCACATTTTCAGACGGGTGCTATATCACACAGGACTTTAATATGTTAGTCTACTCTACATGTAACTGTCAAAAGAGCCCTAGCATTCATAATCACAATTATCAAAAATTGTTTCAAAAAATGGTTTGCTTTAAATTTAGCAAAGCCTTGTCCTGAAAAGGGAGATGTGCATATCCAACATTTCTCATGTGAATCTAAAACGTGTAGATGTTGCATTTATCTGTACAATGATTAACTGCTTGGCTGCAACCAAATCATGTAAATGAAATGGACATTCCTCTCTGTGCAGCTGAACCATTTGTGAAACGCAGAGTGATTCCATGCTGCATTTTAACTGTGGCAGCTAATTGACAGCCTTGTTTTTCCCATTCCCTACAATACAAGTCTTAACTGTATGTTTAACATTGTTACGTGTCAGACTGCTGAGGACAGGTGTTTTTTTTTAGTTTGCGCACACACAATGACCTTAGTAAACTGCACACAGGCTCACAGCTGTGTCCTTTTATCCCTACAATCACATACAATCATTTACATGCATATTATGACTTTAATAAAATTGCTGCTAAAGACTGGTATTAATTTAATAATTAAATCTGTTTGTCTTTCATCAGTGTGCCTGGATTTTACAAACTGATCCTGTAGCGAGACATAAATGTTAAATGAATGTTGTCCAGACTTGCAGATATAACCTGGGCTTTCCTCTGAAGGTAAAACTGTTTGTGCATTTTGTTCCTGAGTCTGCTGTGTTTTATGTACCGTGCTCACAGATGCACAGTATGTAAAGTTGCTGTTGTGCCCATTTAGCATATTTTATACAATTTTTATATTAATGCCATCACCAAGCAAAAATGTCCACTTCTACAAATATCAAATTCTTATGGGCACACTGTGTGAGATTGCTGCACAACATATCCAAGGGCTGATCTTTTGTGAAATTTGATGTGGATATTGACAATCATCAGAGGGTGAACTCTCTGGACCATCACTCTCTTGCACACGATTACCATGAGAAAACAACCTTTGCATACTGTGATTTATAGTTTTAAATATAGTATTAAATTATAATAGTTGGCTCCACTGAGTTGCTTGAATAGTCCCCATTCAAACAGCCTCAATAACAAGACATGGGTCATAAATGAATAGTAAAAACATTGGGGTTAATTGTAGTGAAACATTATCTGACCTGTAGTGAAATCATCAGAGGGGTTGATCCTGGTGATGAAAGCAGTTTCTGATAGGTTCATCTCCACTGCTATCTTCTGATACAAATCATCACTCAGCTCCTGTTAGAAACATAAATAACAGAAATATAAATATTTTGTTGTTACTAATAATCATTGTGCTCTGACGTCCATGCATACAGTAGCTATAGATAGATAGGTAGAAAGTATGTCAGGCTCTTTAGACTGTGCCTATTTTACCACAAATTGTGTAATCATGTTACACATGAACAGCTTCAACTTTGCTGACTGACAATGCACAATCAACAAATGTTTCAAAGAACAACCCAGGTATTTGACCAAACAACCAAAGGATACATTCCAGAGGCAGCAAGTTGAAGTGTCTTGATATCTTTTTTTAGTGCATTTTTCAAGCCCTAGTGCAGCAGACGAGTGTACAATATGACATGCGGTACATTAACCTAACTGATCTTACTCACATGCATGAGTGGACATATTGCTGCGGGGTTTCCTTTGAATGGTAGATTAGTGAAGGCATCCAGCGTAAATACTGGAATCTCCATCGTGCTGAGGATGAAAGAGAAAATGACTTAATACTGACAAGTGTGTCCAGCGAGGCAGTGAGTACGGCGGGGTTTGACAATGTAGGCTCGCACTGCTGCCGTTGGACTTTCGACCCCGTCTGCTTGGTTTCAGCAGTCTCCCCTCACTGTCAGGGTTGCCAGATTTTAAACCTGTTCTCCATGTGTGTAGTGTCAGACGCTCAAAGAGTGTTTATTGTTATATCTGGAGTACTGGCTTACAGAATAAGATCTGCGCCTTCATATATAAACAGCTGATGAATTAAATGTATAGCCTAGTTCAAAGTGTATTGCTTTGGATGAGTGTCAAATCTACATTTTCTTTTTATAGCCAGTAGTTTTTCTTGTCATATATGCCCTATGCATGACTAAGAGGGATACATTTTTTTCTCCTACAATTTCCATACTCGATGTCTGATTTATGATTGTAGATGATCATAAAAAAATGACCAGCATGTTTTTGGTCTTATATTGTGTATTCACAGTGCATTACTACACATGGTGCAGCATTCAAAGTGTTCTGCCTGAATGCAATGTATCCAGACGTGATCATTAAATTAATTTACTGGTTTATGATTAGAATGAATACATTTCATTATTTGCTCAGGAAAAAAAGTCTGTCCGGCAATATAAACACACGAAGCACTTACTCGAGTACAGTTTTGAGGTACTTGTAGTTTAGTAGTTCCATTACGCTACTTTTTAATTCTACTCTACTACAATCCAGAAGCAAATTCAGTACTTTTTACTCCACTACATTTACATGATTTACAATTTGATACAGTTTACAGTTTCATAAAATATATTTTAATAAGACTTAATTGATCTTTATTGAACTTTACAAGCTATCCAGCAGTGTCATGTCCTTCAAATTAGCCCCATCTTCACCACCTGCAACATTAAAGCGATGTACACATTAATGCAAATTATAATAACCCAAATAATATGCTTGTACTGAAATTGGCCAGTCTGCAAAATGAATACTTTTGGTGCTTTACTTATATTGTGATGGTAATACTTTTGTGCTTTTACTTTTTGCACTATGTGACAGTATTTCACAGGTAAGTAGCTATAACAACAACAACAACAACAACAATAATAATAATAATAAAACTAAATAATAATTAATAATTGTTATTATCTGTGTCAAACTTTATCAACGTTGTCGCCTACATATCCAAGTCTCGCGATAGCATACCTGAGCGCTCTGTCTGCAGTTGTCACCTGAGACTCGGGAGCTCGGGACAGGAGCAGGAGTCCGGGGATAAGAGGCGACTGTGAGATCATTTCACCGTTTTCAGACGTTTTTCACTGACATGTGACATATTTCGGTTTGGAGTTACATTTCGATACTCAGTAACATCATACGTCCGTTACGGAGTGAACTTGTTTGTCTCGTACGTTTGACCGCTGTCTGTGTCCTACCGTTAGCCTTAGCTGCTAACGGCTAATGATACCAAGCTAACGTTAGCTCACCAGACTGATAGAGAAACGTTAGCATCATTAGCTTACCATGTATCCAGGCTGACAGATACTGTCCAATGGCGAACTTCAAAGACGCAACTCTACTTAAGAATAGATAATGTCTTGTAAGGATATGTTTGAAAGGTGTTCGTGAGTTGAGGTTGAAACCCCTTGGATTTACTAACACTTCGTGGATTAGTTGAAAGGAGGAAGTAACAAACGTTAAGTTAGCTTATTTAACTGCTGTCACAGCTGCAGTAACTTGCATTATAGTGCTAAATTAGGAGATATTTCCTTTTCTCCTATTCCATACTGTTACTCTTAATTCTGAGTACAGTGCTGTTGTCCCTGGCAATTGTTTATAACTAATAAAAGCTTCTTGCAAAATGATGATGTGCTTTGTGTTATTACACAGAGGATATTTGTGAACAATATGCACGTTTCACACTTGAATGCTCTGTTTATAATAACTGTACAAATAGAAGTAACACAATGTAAATTATATCTGTCGTAATTAAGAGTGATTGCACCCATAAGCCAAGTAGAAATGGCAGACAGACAAATGAGACGAGCAGTAAGTTACTTAATGATAGTTAATAAAAGCACATCTAATGCTTAGAATTGCTTCGTTCTTATTTTAGACCTGGACTCTAGACAGTGACCAGAGCTCGAAGGTCAGGGGATTTTGGAAGCACATCGTTATTTGATGATGGCAATGCTGTAGGTAAAAGTACAATTGACACAGTAATTTAATGTCTTGCTGCTGTGTTCTGCTCTCCGTGGCAGTGAGAATGTCTTTGAATGAAGAGGGTTACGTGGTTCGGATCAGAGGACTACCCTGGTCCTGCACTCAGGAGGAGGTGGCCAGTTTCTTCTCTGGTGAGAAGGCATGACACATGAACAGTTTTAGTAAATTTCATCTTTAACGATAAACTCAACTTTTTCGCTCATTATTACACTGTCACGGTTTTTGATCCATTTTAGTGGATATAATAGTTTTTATGCAAGTGAACATAAAGGTAATGGAAAACTTTCTTCATATTTGCATTGTGTTTAGAGTACCTGCAAACACAAAGCTTCACAGTTGCACCTTAATTATTTTTATTAACTCTGCAAGTCAAACAGTATTTTGACATTCAAATCAGTGGGATTTTAATCATGTCAGGGCTCCGTTGCAATGCAGTGCTGCTCAGACATGCAGTAGAAACCTGCCTCAAAACTCTTATTGGTTGCACAAGTATAAGTGGAATCTATCTGGTCTGATTGCCATTTGATTTGTGACAAATTTCAAAAGACTTATTTCCCTCCGACTACATGTCTTGTTGTTATGCACAGAAACGGTCAGTGTTTCTCCACCTTTTCTGAGCTGTAACCTCATCTTAATGTTTCAGTTTTCACATGACTCCAGCCATTAGAGTGCTGTCAGGATCTCCAATGAATCAGCAAATATACCGTTGGATATTATTTTCTGGAGCTCCAAACAGTTCAAATTAGATAGGATCCAGTTATAGCCTTCAATGTGATTTTTCCTTTCTGAATAGGCATCCTTTAAAGAAATCTCAAACAATCTTTAATTATTTACAGACTGTGACATCGTTGGGAAAGTAAACGGAGTGTGTTTCACCTACTCAAAAGAAGGTCGACCGAGTGGAGAGGCATTTATTGAGCTCAAAACAGCCGAGGATTTCAAGAATGCCCTTGCCAAGGACCGTAAATACATGGGACACCGATACATAGAGGGTAAGCAGCATAAACTGGCATAACAGACTGATGGTCCAGTGAATGTTTTTCTTATTGTGTTGATTTTCTCTTTGAATATTTGCTGCATCATGTGACATTACTGCATATTACTCAGTTGCTAACATCTTATCAGTTTACCGTTATTGTCCTTGTATTTTAAATGCATATAAAGGTTTGTGTCATGGCTTTCCTGTACTGATTTCCATTTACAGATATATGTTTCTTTGTCCTTTCAGACAATATATGACATGTTTGTTATTCTATGTCCATCTGTTTGTGTATCTGAATCAGTGTTCAAGTCAAACCGTAGTGAAATGGACTGGGTGCTGAAACGTAGCGGTCCTGCTGACTATGACAGCTGCAGTGGCTGCATGCTGAGACTTAGAGGCCTACCCTTCGGCTGCAGCAAGGAGGAAATTGTTCAGTTCTTCTCAGGTACATGAACACTTTTAATTACTCTATTGAATTGTACTGATATTACACCATTCATGTTGATCTGAGGGATAGTTTTTACACACTGTTTAACAAGAGTTGTAGTTTTTTTACACCACAGTGTAAGGTGCTGACAAAACTACAACTAGCAAATATGCAAAAGAACCTCTTCATTTGTAGTAAAAGACAAAACCTGAGACAAAACTAATACTCAGTCACTTGTCAATATTTGTATATGGCCCTCTATTACCTAACCATAGGCTTCACAGGCCCTTAAGATCAACAGTTAGCCGCAATATGAAATACAGGCAAATGGATTTATAATAGCCTATAATAGCCTAATATTATTCTAATAGCAAGGTTATGTTTGTAGAAAAATTAAACACGATCAATCAACTTTACATTTACAAGTCCTTTCTTCAGCACTGACATAAGATCAGGAAATGTGACTGATTGTATCTTGAAAAATCCAAAGTAGTGCCGACTGCACTTTGAACGGTGCTTTGCTGCACAGTAGATCAGCCTCACACAGCCACACTACAACATCCATATACAGCAACATTTAGTCTTATAGGTAGACAGTTTTACCTTATTTGCAAACATCTGTCCCAAAGGTAGGCAGGCCGACGCATCTGCATACAAGTGTCTTTGTGTCATGGCCCAAAGGCCTAATGTTTGTTTTTGTAGTATAGTAATACTGTGTTGACTAATTTGTCCTTGTAGTGAATCATTAGTATGATTTTTACCACAATAGTGTTAACACGTTATTTAGCATATTTGTGCTATATGACCTTGATATCATGCCTCCTCAAGAGGGTTTAACGGGCTGGGCTGGTTTGGCTGAGGGAGACAGTCCTATGACACTGATCTGGGGTCAGTACTGTGATTCTACTTATTGGCAGCCTCTTTCTAGGATTATTAACAGCAAATAATTATTATTATTATTACATTGTGTGTCACTCAACACTAAACAATCATTTGGCCATTGATTTAAATTCAGTAGTGTAACAGAGAAAAAAATCTCCTCTGCATCCATTATAATACTCTGACTCCAGGCCAGTATTTCTTTTATTCCCTTGCTGGGCACTTAACAAGTGTAAATTCAGTCCTCTGAGATGCCCCTTTCTAATGCAGTCTTATGAGATACAACAGCTGTTGTTTATTCGCTGTCATGACGTATATTAATCCTGAAAGCTCCAGTGATGCAGTGGGTGTTGTTCTATCCATTCTATATCAGTCTACCTACCGACCTATGTATTTATGTGTGCTTGGGTTGAAGGGTTGAGAATCGTGCCAAATGGGATTACTCTGCCAGTGGACTACCAGGGGAGGAGCACAGGGGAAGCCTTCGTGCAGTTTGCCTCAAAGGAGATAGCAGAAAAGGCTCTGGGGAAACACAAGGAAAGAATAGGGCACAGGTGGGACAGACGGGAAAGGGACGGGCTGGACTGGGTTGGGCTTCTACTGTAGTATTAAATGGGTGGTCATATTAGTATAATTATGGTATTAATGGGATGGGTCTGTTATAGTTGAATGATAAGCATGGGTTGGTGTGCTAGAATAATTGTTAAGATAAAATTGTAAATTAATTGGGTGGGCCATGTAATATTTATGAAAATGCTAATGGGCTGGGTTAAATGGCTGGTTCTAATGGGTTTATGTATTGTAATTATGGTGACATGTTGACAATTGGGATGAAACGTCATGTATCTAATCTTTAGATTAAAGGTGGTGTGATCATTTTATGCCATAGACAGTTTTATAGGTGGTCATTTATGACATGGGAGTTCTATTTACCTGTGTTAGCGCAACATCATCATTTTATTGGCACTTCCTTTATATCCTTTCATACATGTACCATATAGATAATTTACTGTGAAGATGGGATTAAGCATAGAAGTATAGCAGAGGAAAGACAAGGCAGCTTCCACCATTGATGCATCAGACTTATTTCTGCTGTGCTAAATCATTAAAATTATCAATACAACAGGTAAAAGCCCTGTAAGGATTTCTGTAACTGTAAGTAACAAGAGGTGAGGTTGGTATAGAAATCTACTACAGCCCTAAGCCCAGCTAATGATGAGATTTTGTTGAGGTTGTTCAGTCATTCACTCAGCTCCAGGTTAAAACAACTTAGACCACTATTTAGAATATTTGTTTTATTTGTGTGTGTTTATCTTCTCTCTCTGTAATTCATATCTCTGTATGTAACCTGAGCTAAGCCATTTCTACACCGTAACCCTCTCCTCTGCCCCCTACACCCAATTGGCCTCTTATATTGCAGGTATATAGAGATTTTTAAGAGCAGTCGTAATGAGATCAGAGCCTACTATGAGCTGCCCCGGCGGGGAATGGGAGGCCAGAGACCAGGGCCATACGATAGACCCATGATGGGGGGCCCAAGGGGAGGGTTTTTTGGCCCCGGGCCTGGCCGTGGTGGGACTCTGATGGACACCATGAGGAGTGGAGGAGGTTATGGAGGAGGTAAGCAGCTTTTTGTTTTCGTGCGTACAGTAATATCCTGCCAGTGCTTAAACTGGCAGAACATGTGATGCTGTAGAAGGCAATATAAAACTATTTTTATTAACTTCAGCCCATGTTCTGTTTTTGTTTTCACTGGTGCTGTTAAACACATCACATCAAGTCATGTGAAATAAACAAACTGCAGGAAACACAACCATCCCAAAATGAGATTCAAACAAGAACAATTCCAGTTTTGAACTCACTTTAAGTAGCAGTCATGAGTATTTTCAAAGAATGCTGACAATTGACTGGTCCCTTAGCCACACATTTTATTTTATATTTATATTTTTTGATTTTGTCAGTTAAGTAAATAAACAAGCCTACCTTAAATTCCTATTTTCTTCGGTCAGTTTCATTATGGTTATTTTTTTGTAGCAGTGGAAAACCATTTAGAGTTCCATTCTTAATTACAGTATTTATCTATAAAGCAGTATAATCAATAACTTGCAATGATAAGTATAAACAGACATTATAGAGCCACTTGAATATTCACTTTGATGGTGGAGGGGTTGACTAATGGGTTCACCTGCCCAAATTAAGTTCTTTTGAGCCTGCAGAAGTTTTACTGTTTGTTTTATTTGTGTGAAATAACAGTTTGAGTTTTCCTTTGTTTCTCTGTCTTTGTGTCTGTGTCCAGGTTACGGTGGCTTTGACAGCTACAATGGTTTCAACAATTACTGTTTTGGCAACGGCATGTTTGACGAGCGAGTGAGAGGAGAGAGGGGAGGAAGAGGTGAAGTCCAAATTCTATTTACCCTAGAGTCTGGCATTTAGATGTAATGAAATGGTGTTTGAAAGCCTCAGTTCATAAATACAGTTTCGAACCCCTGCTGAGAGGCTAAAATGTTTTCCAAAAATGTACATTTTCATCATTTTTAATTTTTCATGTTTTCACTTTGAAATGAATGACTTTGGTGCAAATCTTTAACTATTCAGCATTTTAGATTTTACATTCTTGATATGAATAAATTAATAAAACCAGAAGCAGGCTTTGTAAAGCAGTGGATTTTGACCATCTTCACTCGTCATTCCCAAAATTAAGACTTTGAAGATTTCACATCTTTAATAAGAAACATTAACAACTTCAAAAATACATCAACAACTACAGTATGTTTTCATTCTTATCAACTGTTTCCATTTGTTCCAGTATCAATAAGACAAATAAAGGTTGATATGTATCAGATTACTTCTCTCTTCTACATCAGTAAAGGTGGTATTGGTAATCTGTGGGTTCGTTTGTGTGTGTTTTGTCTCAGGGATGGGTGGCCATGGCTATGGTGGTCAAAGTGACGGTGGCTCAGGCTTTCACAGCGGCCATTTTGTCCATATGAGGGGTCTACCTTTCCGTGCCACAGAGGGAGACATTGCCAAGGTACTGCTAAGAACACACACTGAGACCAGTTACCTTTATTATTTTAAATATAAATGAAATTTAGGATTGTAGCGACTGGATCGTGCCGGAGGCTGAGTTTCTGTCAACACCATCAGACCATTTGCAGCAAACAGTTACTGCTGTTAGCTACTGCACCTAGGAAGCTCAGTCTCATAATGGTGACAAGTCGATTTTAGCAAAAATGTAACTGAAAAGAATTAATCATTTTAATTGTTCAAGCCATCCATCACTTCTTTGGCATTTATTCGGATCCAGGATGCATTCATTTTATTAATTATATTATCAGGAATTATTGTTGTATACTGCTGAAAAATGCCTTAAAATTATAATAACTGATTGTGAAATAGGTATTAAATTGCATTCATTGTGCTATTAAAAAAGACTTAGAAACTCAGAAATTTAACTTGGTGAACCCTGTTTCTGTTTATGTTGTATTCATACTGTATAATGTTGTTGGTCGAGAAGCCCATTAAGACCAGCTGCTACATTTGAATAAACACTGAATGTTGATGTCATGAAAAAAATTTGGACAGATGGGACTGTCTGCCTGCCTATTCATGTGTATATATGTATCTGTGTGTGTATATGTCTTTTTTTCCCTTCATGCAGTTCTTCTCTCCTTTAAATCCACTGAGGGTCCACATTGATGTGGCTCCTAACGGCAAGTCAACTGGAGAGGCAGATGTGGAGTTTCGCTCCCACGAAGACGCTGTGGCAGCCATGTCCAAAGACAAGAACCACATGCGTATGTCCTCTTTTTCCTCTTCAGCTTGTGTGTCCTGCTGTTGGTCCTTGGGAAAGCACTTTTTTTTTTTTTTTACACAACAATACACAAAACTACTTGTTGATTAAAAGCAAAGTAGTGGATCAGTTGTATCTACAGAGGCAGAACAGTAGCAGAGATTTTCAAGCTCAGTAGATAAACTGCCAGGATTTTAGTTGGCCGACTCAGGGTCGGGCAGGTTTTAATGTTGGAATCAAGAGAGCATTAAGTAAGCACAATCAGATATATACATGTGTGCAAGTATTTTTCGTGACAGTATTTGCGATATTGCAGATGATAGTTCAACTAGTTGGGAAAGTAACCAGGTGGATTTAAACCTTGAATAGGTTGAGTGATGAATTGATGTTGTTCTCCACAGAGCATCGCTATATTGAGCTGTTTCTCAACTCAACAGCCAGTGGAGCAGCTGAAATGAGTGAGTTTTCATCAACAATTTTCATCTAGGCGATTTTAAAATTTTATCACCATTTTATTTTATCCTTTTATATTGTAGTTGTATTAATTCACATAGTGTCATCCTGTGTAAACTCCTTTCAGGTCGTGGCGGCGGTGGTTACTATGGTAACTCAGGAGGGGGCGGAGGCTCACGGAGCAGCGGGCTGCGAGGTGCATACTGATAAAGTCATCCCACTCTTCAAATCCATCCTGGCATTTGTCTCACGTCTCCTTAGGCCACATTTACTCAACTAATGTTTCGAAGCAGGAAAGCTGCTACGAAGTCACTCGTTTGTTTTGTTACAGCTGTTCTTAGGTGAAGTTATACCACGACCCCACAGTACTAAGATACTACAAACAGGCCAAATATGACCTTAGCAAGCACCATTATAACACCATTCCTAAAAGCATATGAAGAACAAAACAACTTGACAATATGAAAATGTTGGAGCTGTTGAAGGTGCTGAACATGGTCAATAAGTCATTATTTATTGATCTTCTATTTCTAAAATTGGATGTAATAGATTTTCTCTAGCAATCTAAGAGAAATCAAACACCTTTTTATTTTTCCAGAGATCTGAATGGGATTGAAAGGGCAGTAGCTGAATATGTTAAAGTTTGTAATGACTTTATTTGGATGCACTTTAATTCATCTTGTTACACATCTGGCTTGTTGGCAGGAGATGTAAATCAGTGCAGATGCAGCAAGGAGGCAGACCTTCATTGGACACAGACTAACAGGTGTGGGACTTTGTGTGATACACAAGAAAGAACAATTTTGATTGTCAGTACACTGTCAGGACCAAGCATGTTCACTTTGATCCCATCACTTGATGATAACAGTGCTCTGGCTTGGGTGACGTGTAGAGGTGAATGATGCTCTTTAAGAGGCCAAGCAGTGGAGGGCAACATCAAAACAAGGAACTTTAGCTAAGAAATTCAGATGTTTTAAACGCACTCTAAAAAACTTATTTTCAGCAGAACAAATAACCAACCTGTAACTATTTTATACCTGATTTCAGATTGGCTTTCCTGCTTTGAAAAGTGTACCAAATGTGAGCCATTGTGTTTTTTATGAATGTTTTCACAGTTCATTACAGAATTTAAAATTAAGTTGAATATTATATTCCACTCTCAAAGAGTGGAAGTAAAATAAAGTCTCTATATTTGAGCTGTAAAATAGCTTATGCAGCTGTTGTACATTTTGCCTAATAAATTTTATATTTAATTCTCCATCTCTCTCCCTGACTGATGTCACTTTTGAAGAGGTATTTGTATCATGGTTGTGAATACATCTGAATATATTAAAAATAAGTGATTTCTCTCCTTAAGACAAAATCAGTGAGCTGATTTTAGCTGGATACAGGAAAAAGACCTCAAAGTGCAACAACAGTAAATGATAAAAGGAAAATTTCAGTCACCTACAATAAAATGACAGTAAACCAACACGAGCGAATCTGTCTGTAACTTGATTTAATCTCAATCTGTTACACAGTCAAGGCAACATACTGTTGGCAATAGAGCTGATATTAAACTGGCAGGATTTAGTAAGCTAAAGGGCCACAGTGATTATCAACATTATGTATATACAACATACAGCTGTATCAACACTGTACAAGTCCCACTGAAAGCTGGGAGATTTGTAAGAGCAACACTGTACAAAGTGTTTCAGGCCTGGTGCAGTTCAGAAACATTTGCCTGTAGTGCTTAATGATTATATGATAAATTTGTGATATTTTATAAATATTTGAAACAAGAAAAACACTTCTTGAAATGAACTAAGTCCTGTTTTATCTCTTCATGGGAATGAATTCTTCCAGTTCTTAAAAAAAAAAATCACAGGTTGTAAACACTGTATACAAGTACAAAACCAGAATGTGCAGTGGAACTTGTATCATAATCCATCTCTGAAGAGCGTGTACTTTACAGTCATCAGCATTAGTTTGACAACACAAACATCACATGTCTCAATCTTGATTTAAGAAGAAGAAATAAAAATGGTTCAGAGTTTCAAACTTTCCCTCACAGGAATGGAGCAGCAGTAAGATGTGGATCTTCCTCAACATCTCCATCTGCACAGATTACAACTAACTTCAAGTGAACAGGGAAACCTCAAACAAGTTCCCTGGACTTCTGAAAGTAAAAATGAATGTGCATAAAACACAAAATCTAATATAAATACTTTCAAATTAATCTACATTACAGGAAATATAGTATTGGAAAATGTTCAAACATCCTGGCTTACAAACAACTGGATATATTGTCAGATGTGTGTAACACTCAAGTCTATTCTGAACAACCACTGACTAGCCAGTGAAGTGGTCATGTTGTAAGAGCCATCAGTGGGTCATCAGCAAGAGTCAGACAGACTGACCTTGATTTAAATCACCTACCAAAGATGTAATGATGCCACCTCTTGCTTCTCTTGGTCCTTTAAGCAGAATCTTCTGCATTAGTGTCTCAAACAGTGAAATGTGCCTTTAATCTAGACTGCTTGCTTGGCTAGTATAAGCTAGTGTTGCTACTTTAAAATATCTTGGGCCATTATTTTAGGCTGCTATTGTCTCTACAGAAATCCTCTCTGTAGAAATACAGGGTTCATTTGGCAACATGAGAAGCCCTAGTAGGTGATATTCAATGCATTCACACAGGCACAATTAGCACCAACACATCATAAAGGAAAAAAGTTTCAGTTCCTTTTAAAGTCCCATGGGGAACTAGTACAGTTATTGTGTCAACTGAGCTAAACCTGTTTGGAGCAATGAATGTTCCTGGAATTAGTTTGTAGATAAGTGGCGCATTGCACACTTCGTATTTTGAGAGTAGAGATCTGACCAGCAGGACTTTATGTCCTGAGACCTTTGATGATGGCAGGTACAAAATATAATCATGTTGCTTCTGTGAAATAACTGCACTTCAAACATGAACAGAAAAACTGAGACCAATTTCATTTTGTGGCACATTTCTGATCCAAACTAAACAGAATATATCCAGTTGACGTCAGTTTAGTATCTAGTAGGATTTAACCTGTCAAGTTGATTCAGTCTTTTGCGCCTGTGCTAATGTTGCTTTAACAGTTTGTGTCACCCCACCTCAAAGGGCAGTGCTTTGGAGTCAGACTCAAGAGTAACAAGGCCACCGTACTGTATGTATAAATTATATAATCACATCTGTTTGGCTATACACTTTCTGTGTACAGTTTGAGGCTTGATGCATACATTATAATGCAGTACCACATAAGACTGTAGGTTTGGCTGAAAAAAACATCTGCATTAATCTGCAGCAGTGCGAATCACAGACAGTGCAGTTTCACTTTCAGTTCATTGTTAAGCTGTTCCTCTTTTTTTTTTCTTTTACTTTTTTTTTTTTTTTTTTTTTTTTTTTAAATATGACCACCAGTCACAACGTTTCCTTTATTATGTTTTAACTTTGTTGTATTGTGTTGAGCATATTTTGAATTTTGGAAAGTGTAGTTGTCATACGTGGCCTTTTCATGCCCTCTAAGTCAGGCCAGTGCAACACTTGGATTCACCCAAAGGCAATTTGTACTCTCTCTCGACAGAGGAATGACATGATTGTTTATGACACTAAAGTAGACCAAGGACTCTTACTATTTCCTTTTCCAACTCAACTGTTATCAAGTAAGAAATCTTGGCCTGTATAGTGGACTGATTGAATGTTTTACACAGCAGACAAATTGGTGATTTCAAACAAAGACGGACCTGAAAGAAAAATGACTGTGAGGTGACTGGGTACCTGGATACTTCCTTCTTCAACATGTAATTAGACTGATCAAGTGGTCTTCATGTTCATGCACATGGTCCATTCCTAGCAGCAAAGATAAATTAGGAGATGTGTCTTACAGAGGACTGAAGGGTGGGTATTTACGGGTGTAGTCTGTTATAGTTTGAAGCAGTCCTGATAGATGTGTGGGACTCCCTCACGTTGGATTGGAGGAGCAGCGCTGGAGAAGGAGGGCGTGGCAGGTGTCACAGACTCGGACTGGTTTTGGTGAGGCGGGCAGAGGAAGCTCATTGTCCGAGCAACTGTTACAGAAAATCTCCCCGCAGTTCCTACAGTGGTGCTGGAGACAGACACGGGACATAAATATTAGTGGTTTGTGTTGGGATTGCAAATGTAAATTGCTGTTTATTAATTTTCTATTGGTTGTCAGTTTCCTTTCATTATTTGTTTAAATCTTTACAAAAAACAAAGTTCATTTCTAACTCTAGTTGTGACTGTGGGATTTTCAATGTGGAAATGCAGATGTGTAAAACTGACCTTTCGTCTCGAGATGGAAAACTCCTTCTCACAAAGCTTACAGTGGCTGGCTTCCTTGTCCTTCAACCAAACCTGACCCCCCTGAAACAACACCACACATTAAATCCCAACATTATGTACCCTACTTCACTGATCCCAAATCAGCTTTGCCAATAACACATAACCAAGATGCAGGTACAGTATGCAGTATTTCTCTCAAGTTCTTTTAATGTTTTATATTTAATAATGATCAAACTCAACATCTTGCTGATGGAGAAGGTTTAGATTAAAGACTTTGTTCTGCTGTTTTCTTTTTTATCTCTTGAAGTGACTGCTGCTTTACCTGAAGAGCTTTGTTGGCTTCTTTGATGTCCTCAATCTTCAGTTTGGATCTGATGACAAAATGAATAGGACAGCGCAGGTAAATGAAATAAATAAAATTAACCATCACAGGTCATAAACCATTTATCTTTTGGCTGCTGTTCTTCAAGAGTTATTAATAGCAAAAAAAAAGTTTTAGTACTTTAATCCTTGTAGAATAGGTTTTCTTAAAGGGCTAATTGTTTTTTTTCTCCAAAGAAAACCTAAAAACTAACTTTGTTACATATTCCAAATCTTACATTGGACAGACAATCTTCAAGCTTCGTAAACTGTCTGCAAAAACAGCATGATTACCATATAGAGAGAGCATTTTTAATTTAAACATGCATACTCGCTGAGTTTGGAGCCTAGTTCCTCGAGAGCTTGTTCTTGGTCTTCACAGATAGTCTTCAGCTGAATGTTTTCATCCTGGAGACGATGGAACTCCTGGAAAAATGTTAAAACACAAACAAGAGAAGACATGTATCACATATAGTATAATATTATATACATGGTTATGTTTCCTTGTCTCTCCCTTCTTACCTTTTTTAGTCCATTGATCTGCAGCGCCTCTGTGCTGAGCTGAGCTACTGTCTCTCTCTCTCTGTCCAGATCATTTTGTAATGTCTGCCTCCACTCCCTCTCAATCTTCAGGTCTGTCTCCAGCTGCTGGCTACAGGAGCACCGCAAACATATGCACGCAACAACCAATAACAATAGTAAGGAGGACAAACGGGTGAGGAATAGATTATGTTAGAGCACATTGATTTATATTTGTATTAAATGTTTGTCTTGCTTTTTAAAATCACACATCATCAACAACAGCTGTATAAGAGGAAGTCTCCTGAGCAATTAAGTAAACAAACCTTTGCTAAGAAAAATGTGCCATGCTTCAAACTGTTTTAATTGGTTCATGAATTAGGACCCCAACAAGTTTCAGTTCTACCACGATACACAGGTTCTCTAGATTAAGTGTTGATGTGTGTGCATAAGTCTACCAGTCAGTCTGTGTTTGGAGGTGTTTTTCTTACAGTTGCCTTTCTCTGTGTTCGATCTGCCGCTGCAGACTGTCGGCCTTGTTGGCAAAGTCCAACTTGAAGCGTCTGGTTCCCTCCTCGGCCGAGGTGCGGTGCCTCTCTGCCTCCTGTAATCTGCACCATTATAACCAGGGACAAACTCAGGACCATGGAGAGAAAAAACTGGGGGGTTGGGGTGTTGAAAGCAGAAAAGGACAGAGGAAGATGGGAAGGACGACAATGGGTAAGGAGGGAGGTAAAGAACTAAGGTTTCTGGCGGGGGAAGATGAAGGAAGTATGGCTGAGGGTGAATGAAGAAGGTTGGGGTGAAGGATGGCGTTGTAATATGCATTGTTGGTAAAATTTAAGAGTGCAGGGATGAGAGGTGAACAAAACAGAGCTCAGTAAGGAATACAAAGGGGTGATGAGTCCAAAATAAAGACACACGATAAAACAACTGCCTTAAAGCAACTGAATGGACAAGAAATAAAGAGAATATCTAACTGAATGCAGCATCTTAGAGCACTCAGACAGAGGGAACTGGAGCATAGCATCACTGTGTTGTCTTTTACAACACTATACACACTACTTTGTTACACAATCACAGCATTTTGATTTTGAAAAATATGCCAATGTCATTGTTTTTCATCCAGTATCGCACAGGGAAGAAACTTATTTCATTGCATGTTTTGGGGATTTGGGGAATTTAACAAAGATTAAGATCCACTCTGATCATGGCCAAAAACTCAAACCACACTACTTTCAAAACATCTAACTTTATTTGTCACGGTGGTAAAAGACAGTAGTTGTGAGTTTTCAACAGCTGTACTGAGCTTTTATTCTTCTACAAACTGAGAGGAGTTACAGTACTATGAACGTGGAGTTAGAATAGGTAGAATGATTACTTCCTGATATATCACAAAAGTCAATAAATATACCAAGACGAGACACAACAACACATTCAGGGTCCCTTGACAGAAGCTCCAGAGGTTTACAGCTGTGTAACTACAAGTCTTTACACTGGGCTTAGCTGTCTGTTCTGCAGAAACAAAGCACATGAATTTTGCTAAAGCTGCTGGTCCCACTGAGCTGTTTACATCTACAAAACTTGACTGAACCTTACAATTTTCAGCGTAGGTGAATCTTCAGGAGGACAAGGAGCAAGAACGAGATGGGCTGTGTCCGAAATCGCTCCCTTTTTTAAAAAGGTACAGTGCACTACATCTACCCTCTGCCATTTTATTTGAGTGTCGAAATTTATAGAACATATGCTCTACTGTATATACTGCCTAAATGTTTGTTTATATAATCTTATTATGTGACACACCAGGGATGACACAAAATGATGATGGTTTATAAGTGCCCAAAATCTCAATTTACTTCTCACCATTGTGTAAACTACCGAGTCTATTATATAGGGAGTAGTGACTGAGTGAGTGAATGAGGGACTGATTTCAGACACAGCAAGGGTCATCACAGCTGGTCAGAAGCAGGTCAGGAGGTGCAATACATGCAGAGCAAACTGGCAACAAATTAAAAGCAGGAGGTGTCACACTCCTGTCTGACTTAACATCTGTAGTGGGCACCACTGACCGACTTTGATGAAATGCAGGCAGCTGTAGAAACACTTTGTCTGGGTTGTATGATAGGTTTCATGTTTACCGCTCTAGCTTCAAGCTGAACAATAAGGTTAAAGCAAATGCCCCCGTCTGACAGACAGCAAAGCACAGAAGCAGTTACTCAAAAATCTCAGCAGAGCCAATATGGAGGCCACTATGGGACAGGACAAAAATTCTTAGGAGGGAAGGAAGTTCCGAAAAGGAGGAGTGTGTTGTAGGAAAATACCAGTTCACTCATGTGGCAATGTGTTTTGCTCTGTGTGCCGGCCCTAAGATAGCTCCCCTAATGTGTAAATCGCCCTTCCTCAATAACTTTTGTACAGTCCCTACTGTGAATACTACAGTGTCTCAACTCTGTCAAGCAGTGGCTCTGGGGATTGCCAGATAAAACCTCTCAGTAGTTGTGATATGAGTGGTACAGCTCACTGTACTCATTTAACTCAATGTGACGCCTCGTTAATTACAATTCAGAGTCCAAACAGTCAGTTATCTTACTGTCAGTGATACTGCATATAAACTGACTACCAGAGAGAGGAAGAATGTGTAGCATGTGTATGTACGTGTGTGCATGCCTGAGCATGTGAGTGAATAGATAAAGTCGTGTGGTTAATTTTAAATGTTTTTTTTTCAAGTTTCTATTAAAGTATAACTGAGGTAATATTCAGACAGTTCTCTGACGGCTCAACACAGCCTTTGATGATGCTAAGTGAGGAACAGCAAGACTGACAGGGCGTATCCTCATTTAGCACAAACCCAACTGTTAAAAGTTGTATGAATGCAATTTAACTAAAGACCATGGAACATGTTGTGGTGGTCTCCATGAATCCCAGCTCTCTGCTGATGATGATCATGTTTCAGTAACTAAATGACCAAAACAATGCATTCTAGTTTCACCTGATTCTGTGGCTGCACTCAGGCCATAAAACCATCTGAATATTATGTGCAAAAAAACAGGAATGTTACTTTAATTTGAGTCCACTTATTCATTCATTCATAAGCAATCATGTGTCTGCATGTGTGTGCATATGTGCATATGTCTGTCTTCAGAAGGAGATGTCCTTGACTAGCTTGTACTGGTGCTCTGTGTCTGTGCTGGCACACTTAACAAATGACATAGCAAGCGTTCTGGTCTGACTTAGTAGGTCCTTATCACTGTACAGAGGAGCAGGGATAAAATCAGGAAAACAGACAAATCATAGAGGTTTCAAGGGAGCAAAATGGACGGATGATTGGATGGATGGTTTAAAAGAGATGAACAGGGAGGAAAGAAGGAGGAAAGAAAGGAGGGAAGGAAGAAAGGATGTCAATACATCAGTATTCTACGTGGCCCCGGTTACACTAAACACTTTAAGTGACTTTCAACATCACAAGCACAGCAGGAAGTGTAAATGAAAGGCATTAAAACATCAAAATCTGATTTCACGCTGCCAGATTCACTCTGGGATCAGATTTCTGCAGTCTGGATATACAGTATTTCCTTTCACAGTAAGTGTATGAGTAATGATTAGAGGTGGGGAGGAGATGCAGAGAAAGGTAATGTGGTCAGATAAATGAAATACAACTACAGCAGACAAAAACTGGTGAAAAGTGCAGAGCTTTACAATCATAATGACAGTTAAGCCTGGAAAGCAAGCTCTATGCTAACAGCAACACCTATAGTAGTCATCCCTAGTTCGATCTCTCTAGCCTCAACGGCATGTTAAATTCTTTCTAATTTCTCATTAGATGGCATAAATAAATGATTTGATTTTAAACAGGGGCTCTGATCAGAGCAGTTTTAACTTCTTCATTAGACTTTTCAACCACAACAGCACAAAACTCACGGTGAAAATAACAAGTGTAACCAGGGTCTGCATCCTAGCAACCTACAGAAACCTAGAGCAGCAAAAAACATTCACAGCCAATCACAAATAGGATGGAAGAGATTCAAACCAATGGGACTGGGGAGGGGAGGGATGGACTGAGTTGACCGGGAGACGATGGGATGAGGAGGGACCATAAGCTATCAATGAACCAGCAGATCTTATAATGACTGAAACAGATATGGAGCACTTACACACTGACTGAGGGAACTTGGCATGCATGAAAATATCTGTGTCTTATCAGATTTGATAAATTAAGGAAACACAAGGAAACTGTTTAGCAAACCCTGACATATCTCATCTTGTAATCTATGTAGTTAGTAGATGATGGCCTAAAAAATAGCTTCAACCAGTCAGTATACGGTGTGGCATTTGCTGTCTGAAATAGCAAGTCTGCTCGTTCCCTGAAGGTTAATATTTTATTTCAGTGAAATCTATTCAAAAGAAATGATGTTATGATGTAGGTGGAGGTGGCACCCTGAAACCCTGCACTGGCGCAGGGACTTCAAGCATATTTTTGGTAATTTTAATAGAACTGATCCGCAGGAAAAATGCAAACCTGTATTGTCTCGGTGTCTTGTCCCTTGTCTCTTCGATAATGCAAAAAATGTTCTTGTTTTTCAATAACAATGTGCAATTTTACTTCCAACTTCAACTGGACAGTGTGTTTATAACGTACAGATTTAACACACAAACAATTTTTTTTTTTATCTATTTACTTTACTAGTTTAATTTCACACACTGGTTTCAGACAGTATTAAGACACCTTGACTTGTTGCACTTGATATTGTTGTAAATGAATAAAACTGCCATTTTTGCCCATCTTCTACACCCTAACCCATAATAACAAAAGTGAAAACATGTTTTTAGAAATGTCTCAAAATTTACTGAAAATCAAAAGGTTCGGAATAGTTTCTGAATCTTCTTCAGTTACCAGGGTTTCCCACAGCTATTTATAGCACTAATCCACTAATTAAGACAACCTCTGCTACGATCTAAAGTAATGAACACTCCTTTATGCAACAAAACCTTAGAAATGTGTTATTTCACTGACAAAGACTGTGTAATTGATGACTGCAGCTATTGTTCAGACTGCCATCTAGTAACTAAATAGATCACAAAAGACAACGTGAGACTCAGCTCAGCACATGACAGACACTTGCCAATCATATCCCATGTTGCGATGTCAGGTAAAAATCTCAATGGTGTCACTTCAGTTAGTGAGGTTTTGTACTCTGAGAAATTTTGTGTTTGCAGGATGGTGTTTTGATTAGTGTGTGCTGTTATTTTACAGGCAGTGTATCTCACCTTTGCTCCAGCTGCTTCATGGTGGCAGTGATCTGATTGGTCTTCTCCTCCAGACGGCTGATCACATCGTTCTTCTTCTTCATCTCCTCATCGGACGACTAAGAAATGAGAGTTACTGGCTGTCATAGGTCATAGTAAGTAATGATTACAATATTTCTACTTCATTCATTTATCTCACAGAAGACATGAAGATGAGTGTGTGTTTGTGTCTGTACCTGCATCTTCTGGTACATTTCTACATTGATGGCTTTGACCTCGTCCAGTTGATGTCTCAGTCCGATCAGTGTGTCCTGTAAATCAAAAGCAAAAGGTTTCAGGAGTGTTGTGGCCCAGTACTGGCTGTGCTGTTGACACTGTCATGTGACTGCTTGTGGTTTCCTACAACAGTTACACTAAATGAAGTTCGTACAAGATGGAACTCAGCACTACATACACACAGATAATTACTTTGGCAGTTTTGGAGTTTAGTCGTATTTCTGTTTTCATATTTCATGCAAAAGTACTAAACAAGCTGAAATAAAAATAGGACAAACTTCATGTATCAACACATAACACAAACATTCCCATGATAATGATGCTGACATTATTCCCAAGTCTGACAGTTGAGTCACCCGTTGGTATTGTTTTAATGATCCCAGCAGCTACCTGAAAAAGCTGCCATGATGAAGCCACCATGGCACCTCCTGTACCTCACAGCTCGGCTACAAATGCCAGCTGTTGGTGTTTATGTTGCAGAGTTCACACGTTTTGTGGTGAGAGGCCTGACACTGGCAGGGCTGCCAGAGAGACGGGCACAAAAGCTTGCACGTTATTACTGCTCCATGTGAGCAAGTACAGGCAGGTGCTATACTTTTAGTCTGTGCACCCAAAGGGCTCGTTATCATCAGCTTCCACCAGCATCATTCTTAGGATCATCCTCCTTAAATGTTTGTGTCTAAATACATCTATAAAATGACTGATTCAGCCTCATCATTAACAATGCCCACAAGTTTTGTTTATTCAGTTGGTGCAGTCACTATAAGTCACTCTGGAGACTTACAGCATCCTTTCTGCCTACTTTAGCTCCTCCTTTTTTGTAAATAAACCAGTGGTCAAAAAGTACAACAAAGGGAAGTCAAACATGAGTTAATGTATGATGACCTGTTTTTCATGAATATCCTTCTCCAGAAGTTTCATGGCCAGCTCCATTTCCTGTTTCATTGACACCTGAACTACCAACTCATTCTCCACATCCTGAAAAATAAACCAAATATACGTATATAGCATGTTATTACACAGTCAGCTTGCACATCCCACACATTTTCTATACACAAGCAGCTACAGTGTGACCTGTCTGAGCTGGCACTCCTCCTTCAGCTGTCTCCGAGCCTCGTTGTACATCTCATCCAAACCCTGACGAGACTGTTTGTATGTGTCTCTCTCCACTGACACATCGCCTTGGGCTACCTAGAGAAAACAACATGTCACATCATTATGCATCAATTTTATTGGGTTGTGGTCCAAACTATGTCTAATTTTCAGATCAACAGTTTTGGATTCAGGTTTAGATGTATGTCTGTGTACCTCTAAATGTTGTTGTGCCTTCAGCAGAATGAGGCTGTTCTCACTCCTCAGCTGCTGGTTCTCTTCCTGCAGTTTGATGATGTTGTTCTTGGCTATGGCTAACTGCACATACATACATGCAGAAACGTACAATGACAGAGAGTCAGAGTCAGATAACTAGTCATGCCAGTAAGACTAGGTGAACCCAACTCATATCATGATCCTTTACTGACTAGTTTAACTTAACAAATGCATTTGAGTCATGAAGTAAATTTGTATGACACAGGCAAAAATGATTAGGACAGCTAGAGGTTTTGCTCTGTACACAAGTACACATTTTAGATTACATATTAAATAACAACTGGGGTTACAGTGCTGACTTTCATCTTCTTTCTGATATACAGATATTTTAAGTGTGAGTCTCACCTCCTCTATGAGTTTAGAGTTGGACTTCTCCAGAGAGTCAACTCTGCCCTGAAGACCATGGACTGTGGAGCTAGAAATACAAACACACAAAAACACAGAAATTATATTCAATCTCTGTTCATTTGTAGTCTCACAGATTTTTATCAGGCCAACATTTGGGATTATGGGAATATGGGAATATGTGACTGTATTAGTTGTGGTACAACCCTTAAAATGGAACTTTTCATTCCTCTGGTTGGATACTGCTCAGTGGAGAACTATGACTTGAGAGAGCCGTTATCATGATCATGAGGTTAAACAGCATTCACAGGTTAAGAGGACTGAACTGTCTCAACACAGACTGACAGACCTGAATTTGACTTTTAATGGCCACAGCAACAATACATAAATGCCATTGTTAGCTTGGCTTATGTTCAGAGGGGACACATTTTGAGGTTTGCTAACATGAAATCATGAAACAGTTGAAACTGTTTGTTTTCAGCTCTATCACAGCTGCAAAATTTGAATGAGGATTCACTAAACCTAAAGATCCATTTAAGGCAGCCGATCAATCCAAGTTATCTTAAAGGAGATACCAGGTTTGTGAGAAGAGGAAAATTTGAAAGAGGAAATGTGACTGAAATTCTTTTACTCAATCTGTCTGAAGGGAACAATGAGCCAGAGCTGCACGTCTGAAACCACCAGACTGGTTCAAATCTAAACTGACTGGATCTATTTTAACATGCAATCAAATTTTCGGCCATCTGCTTCTGATATTATGACTCAACACTAGACATTCAACAGATATAAAGCAAAACATAAGGTACACATAAAGTAGAATGACTGCCTGTCTCAATCAGCCACTGCTTAGGTACAAAATACACAGCATTTTAAACCCAGGACTTCCATTCCTTGAAAAGTCCTTGAACATCTTTAAAGTTTGTAACACTGTCGTTTCCAGGAATTCTGTGGAAAGCCCCGCAGATAGGTCTGTTTTCAATTTAACAAAAATGTCTTACTTGAGTTGTCGATTCAGCTCCTCTACATAGTTCTTCTGATCCAAGATGGATGCTATCTGGCTATTCCTGTTGCCATGGAAACAGACATAAAACAGAGCTCTGAATCACATTTATGAGGCGTAAAAGACCCTATGGTTTAAATAAAGTGGAGAGACAATGACAGATCGTACCTCTCTTCACTCCTGTAGTCATCGATGTCGTTTTTCAAGTACATGGAGAAGTCAATCACCCCGACCTTAAAGAATAAAAATAATTTTAAAAAGTAAAGATTTAGCTGATAACATTTCCTGAGGGAGGCAGCATGTACAGAGAAGCAGTGTGTGCACAACCATTGATTCAGTGAGATGAGTCATTAGGTCTTCAGCTGTTTCAACCCACCAAAACAAACTTAATAATTAGGTATGTTGAAATCATCAGTACATGGTTACACAAATTAAAACGCAGACAAAACAAACAAAACCCAAATTCATGCATGAAGGCAATGTCAAACGATTCATCTGTAATTAGCCACTAAGTGCCAACAGTGTATGTCTGCATTAGCTTATTGAAGTCATTTTTCAGTTAACCACACATATACAGAGAAATCACCATAAACCAAAAGTCAAGAATCCATCCACCCAGTCCATAACATCTTAACTATAAGGTCAAGATATCAAGGTGTAAATCCTCACCTCGTGGTCAGAACATGACAGTATCTGAACATACTCCTCCTCATGACTTCACATTACTACTACATCTCATTCAGGCACATGCACTCAGGTGTGAACTCTGTGCAGGGTGTTAGCCATAGTGAGAATATGCGTTTGCACTCAGGACAAAGTCTCCACCCATGGAGTAGAAACATGACACCAAAGCATCTGCTCTCCACCTGCCATAGCCAAAATGTGACGAAACAGATAAGTCGTGTCTACATTTCTGTTTTTGAAAACCAGAGTGACAGCCGTTCCACGTTTCATTTCAATGAACTGAAAGTAGAGTTTGTTTTGTTGACGTAAGACATAATTGTATTCCTCTGCTTAGTATGGTGCAAGCAGATTAGATCCAATCATAGTGAGAACAGAATTGAGAGAATAATGCATACCAGCTGTAAATACACCACATCATCAGATTTGCTTAATCTTGATAGCATACCCACATTAAGATGACGCTTTAATGTATTTTTTAAATCAAATGGTCTAATATGATTTCAGAAAAGTGGTTACCTGAGAGTCCAGGTCCTCGCCTTTGACGCACAGGTTGGCATCGATGACATTGAGGCCCACCAGCAGGCCCACGATCACAGCTCCCTCCTCCTCTAGCATCAGCGCTGAATTCTCATAGAAATCACTGTGGAGGAAGAGTTAAACAAGATTATCGTACACAGTTTTTGTAACCAACGTTTGTTCTCAAAACATAACATATATATTCTACAAGAAAAGTTAAATGTACCTTTTCCCATACATCTTGTTTGCGTGTGTGACGAGTGTGTATACCTGAGCAGATCTTTTCTGGTGATGAGGAGTCGCAGATAGTCAGCTAGCCGTTTCTGCATGAGCGCCAGACGCAACCACGCCCTGGCCCTACCTAAAGGAGTCCTGGAGCACACACGCACACACATACACACAAACACAAACATTAACACACACACACACCAGCAATAATTTTTTTTTTAGGAAGTTCTGAGGGTCTTAGGCTGGTGGTGCTGAGACATGATTAGATCAATCTGATGATACGCTTTGTTGATCAGGTTTTTCCTTTTTTGTTTCTGTCTCTGTAATTTGAGCCTGTGTGTGTCTATGAGATGGTAACAAAATATTCATTTCATTTCAAACTAACAATTCTAAATTCAATTTATAACCATAACCTTTTCAAAAGAATTCTTCCCCTGCCCTGGATGTTTAATGTAATCTAAAGTTGTGTGGGCTCATTCTTTTCAAGAGTTCCACCCTTACAACCTACCCTCATCGTCATCTAAATGACTGCAACCGTGTTTTTATTGCATAACATTACTCTAGAGTAAAACTGCAGGCACTGGCACAGTCTGCACTGTCCTGTCACTAACCTTTGAGTCCATACTTGCTGTTGCAAAAATTTCTGCTCTGCTACACATCTGTTGGTCTGACTCAGCACCACCAAAAGGAAACAGACTCTGTTCTCCATCTAAAACACCACAACTGTTCCCCATTTTGCTAGATCGGACGAGACCTGAAAATTACTACTTGATTCCCTGCCTGGAAGCTCTGCTATGTAGTGACTGATAACTAAATAACAAAGTGAAGTCTAACATGGAAATCATGTGCATGAACTAAAGTGAGTGGGAGCCTTACTACAGCCACTAGAGGACACAACTTGAATATTAATGTAGGATGCAGCAGTAGGGTTTTTGATGTTGATATGTTGACATACCATACCATTGGGCAGTCAAAAAAGTCACAAGCGGCAAAGAGTTTTAACATTTAACTTGCTTGTCACATCTTTGAAAAATGTATCTACACCAGTTTTTATTTTAAAAAAAAGGCCTGTTAAAAGAAGGTAGAGGAAAAGTGAAGTGAAAGAAAATCACACTCAGGTACTTCCCTGATCCAGCTCAGGTCACATTATGATGTTACTTGTGCATGTGCGGTGTTGGCTCGTGTTCCTCCACCAGTATGTTAGGTCAAGTTGTATGTGTTGTGTGTGTATAGAAATGTTGTCCTTACTTAAGTCCAGGCAGGTCTCGTACGGAGGCTGAGATCTCTGCTGCTTCAGGACACAGTTTCTCCACCAGCTCTAGTGGACCCCATAGAGACTTGTTAAAGCCCAGAAAGGACTTCTTCACTGGAGAAAGAAGACACAAAGCGGAAGAGAGTCAGACATAAACCTGATGAAGGCAAACACACACACACATTTCTGCTGCTTGGACATTAAATTTTAATAGTGGTGGGAGGGTTGCAGATATAGCCACATCATTTAAAACAGGCTCTCTCCTTCTTACCTCTGAGGCCATGTTTGAGACAGTGCTCCATGACAACAAAGAACTGCTGAAGAGGCGGGTAGTCTGAGTCCAGTGTTCGTCCGAAGCTCAGAGCTGATTCAATTAGCCCTTTAATACTCAGCTTGGCCATGTTCAGCAGGTTGGCTCGCTCCATAGTCATGGGGTCTCGCAGGGCTGCAGGACAAAAGCCAAACATAAACACTTAAATTAGAATATATGGAAAATACTCATGTCAGGACAGTCACACAATCATTTCTGCAAACTATCTTTTTTTATACATGGTACAAATGTTTATTATAATTAATATTATTATGTTTCTATGTGACAGAACAACTGAGTCACTTGGCCAAGTTGATGTCTTACAACTGGTGATTTTCAGAAACATACTTACAATAGGGAGGTAAAATAAATGTAATGCAAGTGCAGTGAAGGCAGAATCCACCCTGCACATCAAATACACATTTACATTTCTGTGTCAGGTCAGTGCAGTCACACAGATCCACAGATGGTATAGGAGTCCACCCTAACAGATCTGAATGTATATTATAAATCTGTGATCAAAGTATAACCACTTTTCCAAACCGGGAAATTAATTAGCCTACAAATAATGAATTTGACACTCAGTACCCATGTTTCTAGATATTTGTCTTGCCTGCAAATGTTGTGTTAACACGATAGCAGAACTGTGCCTGGCAGCAGCAAATTCAGTATGCCAGAATGATTAGTGGTACTTAACACTTACATGATAGAGAATCTCCAGGGCCAGAGATTGTAACCTCCTACAGAGATAGGCTTTATACATGTTCTGCACGTGGACCTCCGGGTTAATGTTTACCCGAACACCAGGACAGAACAATGTCAGGTCAAAACGATGTTTCCTAGCAATGTGGAAGAGCTTTAATTGCCCCGCACATCGGCCTGGAGGCAGCTGACAAATCAACAGATGATTTCTTGGGAGGTGCATGACTGTTGGGTGCCCTGGGGCAGTGGGTCCCCAAGCAGTATCTTCACATGACTTCTCTATATCATATCTAACTCAATGATGTGAAAAGTTATAATACTAAAGATCTGAAACCATGAAGCTAAATTTGTGATACAAGATTTAATTTAATGCATAAATTCAACTCATGTTTCTCATTCGGAACATTAAAATGATCCAATGAGTTTTACATACATACTGAGGTATGTTGACTTTGAATTTGGGACAAAGAGACCATGTGGTTTGGGCACTGACAGTACCAGGAGAGAAAAAGATGGATCGGTGCATCCCAAAAAAATAATCCCTAAGTGACATTTCCACCCTGCACGGTTTGGCCAGCCATCCAAAACACACAGATATACAATTACATAATAAAGATAAAAGCAGCAAATCCTCACATTTGAGTAGCTGGAACAAGAAAATGTATGGCATTTATGCTTGATTAAAAAAACCATTAAATGGCCTGAGTCACTGATCAATTGGCTAATCATTTCAACCCTATTTCATTTCGTCTGTGATGTACACTTGAAAGGAGTCTGAAACTAAATATAGTTGTGAGTGTGGGGGGTGGCAAAGAGAAGGGGATGCCAGCTGATGGGCATACACTGACAGCCACACAGTAGAGCTCTTAGATCTGCTACACAGTTACTGGCTACAACAACATACATGGCTAACAGCACACCGATTATTTCATTTGCATCAGGGCAGCATGTGATGCTTCAGGCAGTAAAGTTGTGTTATGGTCTAAAACAGCAGAAGCACAGAGAGATGTACCATCAAAGCCTGAGAGCAGAGCTGATGTAAGAAAAATCAATTGGCCACAGACAGATAATGGAGAAGTAATGTCAGATATAGAAGAGAGAGGAAACAGAGGTAATTTGTCACATTGTTACATCCACCAACTGAAACCATGACTGTAACTGTGCTCCAGTTATTAACTGACCGCATGATTGATTGTTCCTGAACATCTTATTCTGTGTAGAGAGACTGATAAGCAAAGGGGTTAGGGGTCACATTTGAGCATCTGTCCCTAAATCAGATACTGGGTGTCATCAGACCTGTTATCAGCCCCCCACCTACACCCACCCACACACACACACACACACACACACACATATATACACACACACACACGCGCGCGCGCGCGCGCGGCCCTTGATGAGCTGACCAAACTCTACCTTGGACGGTCCAGTCCCCTGGCAGAGACGTTCTGTGCTCCGACACTTTGGGCAGGACGTGAATGCTCCCTGAAATGGTCTCGGATGCTTTTCTGGCCAAAGCAAAGATAGGAGCCTGCCATCGCCCGTCTCCCCCACTGCCTCCACCTCCTCCTCTCACTGTGCTGCTACTGTTAGCTTTATCACCAGCAGCAGATTTGTCTTCCTGCAGCCTCAGGATCCCAAACACCTGTGCTTTCTCCTTGCTGCTGTCCGCTTCAGACAGAGCCAGGTCGTGCTCTGCGGGCGATGTCATGTTCATGTACCTCTGAAAAGATTGTAGCTATCGCGGGTCCGTGCGACAACAGACCGATTTACACGGTTTGCTAACCGTCAAAGAGCTAGCTCTGGTGTACACTTCACCCGGCAACCATTATGACAACCGCAGCATAAAAATACCTGCGATACCACCGGCCAAACCAATGACAAGTCCAGCTACGGTGTCAGAAATCAACCGTCGTAACGCTCCCGGGCAGCAAACCTACTCGTCGGTCTACATGGTGATCGTTAGCATCGGCGGGGAAAGCGCGGAAACCTGCTGCTCGAGAAACGTGTCTTTCCCGTACATTTCGGTGTGGTAGAGATTTGTTTACAGCCAGCAGACCAAACCGAGAGTTGGCTCCTGATGGTCCCGCTGCACCCTCCGGAGGGGCGGTGTCAGAAGGCTCACAAGACACACAAAGGCAGCACTACGTAATGATTTTAGTGGCTGCTGTGTTGTAGACCTACCGCTCTCTGCTGCTGGAAGAGAGAACTGCACGACAGCGCTACAATTCAGGGGAAATACGTATTTATCACTTCCACTACAGTTACTTATCAAATTAAGATTATCATAAAGCATATGATAAACTTATAAAATAAGATGGTAACACCTTACTTTAAGTCCTCCTAATGATCATTTATAAGCACTATATAAACATTTTAAAAATAGTTTATAACACACTACAATGTAGTAGTAAGAAGATATTAATGTTTATTGATGTATTTCTCAATAAATAAAGGCTATATATAATAACATGTTACACATGTTAAGTCTTAACTTTAGGCCTTAGTCTGATCATTTTAGGTTAAATATATTTGTCTTTTAAACAAAACACACAATTTTAAACAATTGCACAATTTTAAGGCCAAAAAAGGATTTAGTATTCTCTGCAACAATTACATACCTGGCAGCGTTGTGACTGAGCTTTGAAACAACATTTTCGGAGAAGATGAGAACATTTACAGGGTTTGATTGGTGGCTTGTCCATAATTTCCTAGGTGGGTGGGGTTCTGCTGGGGGAATTTTGACTCACAACCTCAATATTTCCACAGGCCTGGCTAAGGCCCTTCTTACTGTACAATTTAGCATGTTGAACCCATAGAGGAAACTTAAATAGCAATGCAAAACAGAATTAAGTAGAATTTAGAGGCAAAGCAGTGGAAGCAATAAACACCCACACAGGCAGCAGTAAAGATGAGGAAGTAGACAAAGAGAGTAAGGCTGAGTAGGCTTTGGAAACTTGATTAAGGTTTCAAGTGAAACAAGCAGTCTACTTGAATTTTAAGGCTGCAACTAATGATTGATTTAATTATTTATCAATCTTATGATTATGCTCCCAATTTAATCTGCCGAACAAACATGATGCTTCCTTTAATCATTGGTGCTGTTCTTAACATTAGGTTTAAGAATAGCACATAAATAACTGAATATCTATAAACTTTAGGTTTAGAATAGAAATTGTTAAGTGGTCAAGAGTGAACTACAGTCTGGAGAGAGGCTTTTGGATGCTTATGCATTTAACCGGTGACTGTAGCTCATTCTTGACCCATGGAAAAGTGTTTTCTTTTATAAAGAACACTGTATGGAACCAGGTTCTTATATCATCATATAACAGATTAGGTTATTCATTCAAATAGAAATTTTCAACCCACCTTGGCTGTAGGCTAACCGCTCCATGCTCTCACTATGAGTGATGCCCCAGCGGTGAAGACTCTGAGGTGAGTACATGATAGGTGGAGCTCTCCTCTGCCCACTGCCGTGTTGCAATGAGGTTAGTAGATCAAGCAGATCCCTGAGCCCTGAAGTGGCCCGTTTCTGTCTGGTTTTTGCTGAACTGGTGTAATACAGTCAAGTTTCCTTGGATTTTCTGATTCCCCAGATGACCCTCCCTCCTAATCTGTGGTGGACTAATATGGTGTGTTCCAGTTTGCTCTAGTTTTGCCACAGTCTCAGGCTGTGCTGGGTCTCTGCTGAGCTGGACAGGGATGCCTGGAAGAGAACAGACAGCGGAGACAGTAAGAGACAGATGCTCACAGTCATAAATAATATGCACAAAATAGTTATTCTCTGAAATATTCTACTAAACTCTAATAAATCTTGACCTAATGAGAAAATAGTAGAATCATCTCCAAAACTGGCATGATTTTTTTACCAGAATGCATTTTACCTTTTTTCTGAGTAGCAGCTTATGAGGAATGTATCCAGAGGGCGTCCATCTCACCACAGTATGGATGTAAAAGTGTCCAACCACACCAACTGTACAATGTTAGATCCATAACAACACAGAGCGAGACGAACTGTTGCAGCACAGACCCTACAGTACACTGCATTACTACAACCATTGCTTTTCTTTACTCCTTTGTAGTTTCTCTTGTTCTGCTTCTCTTCCTCTGTTTGACTTACTCTCTCTCTCTAATAGCTCTGGGCTGACCAGGGTCATATGACCGCTTTCTTGCAGATCCATAGACTCCTTTGTTGTTTGTATGCTGCCTTAGTTAATCCAGTGAACGGCTGTGTCCAGTCAGCAGAGAATTCATAAATCAGGCCGCTGCTGTCCTTTCTCAGCATTTGTTTTCCTGTTGACCTGACCGTGTTCTGCCTAACACTTAATTTCTCTGTATCTGTATGTATTTATATGCCTTGATATTTGACTTTCATGTTTTTTTACTGTGCTACCTGTTTCACCCATCAATGACACAGTATCAATAAACATGTAAGCCTCTTCATCATTTTGTCATTCTGCAGGTGTGACCATCTGTGCTGCTTTGAGGCTGTTCATACATTTTCTGCCTGGTTGTCTGTAGATCAACCATCATTAACACTTTAACACCATTAACACCTATAATGACAACACACAACTATGCCTCATCTTAAACGTATTTGAATTTAATGTAATTGATTCAATATTTTCATCCTGATGCAAGTGAAAAGGAGAAAATACATGCATAACCATGCCAATATCTTCATTCATAATCGGATACTTGCAGCCTACATAGGAGTTCATTCTGATTTCACATCAAAAGTGCACATGACTCAAAGGGTCTTTCTCAGCTTCTCTCTGTATCATTTATCCATCTCTCCTCCAACCCTCCATCCACTTTCCTTCTCCACTCTGTCTTCTCTCTGAACCACACCTAAACAAACACACTACTCAACACTACTTCCAGGGTGGTATGTTTATACCATATGACCATCTTTATCACTGTATGAGCACGCCCTTCCACGTGACCGACAGCTGGACCAACCAATCAGCATCCCTCAATGGAACCTCTCTCCACCAATAAGGGCGTGATGCTGTTTCATCGTAGTAGCCAGCCTTTCATTCTGCAGCATTGCCCGGAATTAGAGTGGTGCTATGCTCAAAATTTTATTGCATCTTATTTGTTATTATTCTTTTGATTAGCAGAGAACAAGAAACAGTAACTATCCGGAGACATAAAATATACATTTTAGGCAACAAAAATTAAAGTAAGATCATTACAACATGTGCAGTACATACACTACTGTCAGCTGTAATTATTCCAACTAAATGTTTCACACCATCATCCCTAATGTGCTATAATTATGTAAACATTTATGTTATCAGGCAGTAATTGTATCTCACCTTAGAAGCAAGAAGCAGAGTGATGATTCTTGATTATGCAGATTGTCAGCAATCACTAGACTGGTTCAAAAAAGGATAAGTCTATTCTCTGGTCTTGTGATAGATTGTCGGCGATGACTCGGTGAAAACTGGCCAAGAGGGGCTTGTGTCAATCCCAGTCCAATTGTAGCAGCTACAGGCAGCGGTTAGTTGCTCCCAGATGTCCCATGATAGGCACTTCAGAAGGTACTATTACTTCTACTGCAGAAATGAACAGATATGGAATAGGGATATCTTCTTAGTATTCTCTTTCACATATCTATCTATCTATCTATCTATCTATCTATCTATCTATCTATCTATCTATCTATCTATCTATCTATCTATCTATCTACCTACCTACCTAGCTATCTAGATGTTCTGCGAGGTTGCTACATTCAGTTCTGAAGCAATAAGCCGGTACCCACTCTGGAGACATCACCGACAGAAACCACAACCATCACCCCACACAGCACCCAATGACAAGAGAGCAGGGAGACTCAGAGAGGGGGAGGGGTTAGGGAGTAACACAGCAAAGAGAGGAGAAGAAAGGGAGAGGAGGGAGGAGGCTAGAAGCGGGGTAATTACACTGAGGAGGAGAGGAGAGGAGAGGAGAGGAGAGGAGAGGATGGGGGTAGCAGAGGGTTGACAGAGAGAAAATACACACACAGCAAGAGGAGAGCACACATACACGCCCACACATTACTGTACATGTGAATGAAATACATGAAGATATGAATGAAAACATACAAATGTTGCTAAACAGTATTTTCTCAAAGCAGAACACAAGAGAGGGGGGTCAGGCTTGTTCTTACCAACCAATCCCTGGCTGGGGATTGAACAGAGAGGGAGGACGTTGTTGAGACAGATAAGAGATTGGTGTGCGTGTGTGTGTGTGTGTGTGGAAGTGAATGACTTTGCAGCTAAGAGAATGAAATAGTATCTCTGCAGCTAGAGATTACTCTCAGTGAAATAAAAGATGAGGTTGATTCTGTCATTACTTTGCTAGAAACCAACAGGGTGCAAGGAGTGAACAACAAACAAGACAAAAAAGATTTTTGTGTACTTGCATGAATAATAAAAATCAAGGGCGTAGGTTTGCATATGGATGGTAGGGATATGTCCCCACCAATATTTTGGGAGGACAGAATTTTCCCCACAAATATTTGAGTGAACTCATTCTGTACTGCGTTTGGAGTGAAGTCATATTAGATTATTCCAATGTGCCCTCCAAGAGGCTATGTCTCCAAGATAGCCAATTTAGGCATGCTAACATTTGATTGACTGAAAGGGTGGGAGGTTTCTGAAGGCTCAAGTCCTGTGAGAATATCACAGTGGTACCTAACGACACCCGAAAAATGTCAACTGATGTTATTTAACCATGTTAACTAGCGTTAACCAGCAAGCTAACCCTGGCTTCTGTAGGCTAGCAGTTTGGTTGCTAGCAGCAGTAAACATAAAGTGATGCATATATCAAAGTATGAGTTTAATTTCTGTCGAAAAATGTCACCATTAATACCATGATGTTGTTATGCCTTACTATACTATGACATTTGTATGCCTTACTGTATGATGATTTGTTTATGGAGAGGGACAGTGTTTCACTGATTACAACTGTCGCCTCACAGTAAGATGTTTAAGGGTTTGAACCCCGGGCCTGGGGCTTTTCTATGTGGAATCTCCCGCAGACATGCACATTAAGTTTATTGGTGACTCTAATACCTTACTATACTATGATGTTTTTATGCCTTACTATACTATGTTCCGGGTC